CTGCCGGTACGTATAAGTATATATGTATAATTATTATGTTATAATTATTATATAAAACACCGAAAGTTTCGAGATTTCGCAGCCGAAAAATTAATTATAACTAAACAAAACAAAATTAAGCTGCCAATTACATTCCACGGCTTCCCACATGATAGATGAAGAGATTAAAAAATAGATTGAGTTAAACAATTGGTATTTTCAAAAGTTATCGTGTTTACCACTCTATGCGGACCTAATAAATCTACACCATAAGCCACTAAAACCACTTTCTATATAAAAATAGCAATTAATCGATTTAAAAAAAAATATTAATAAGTTCAACAATCATCAGTCTGACAATGTGCTTTTTATATAATTTATATGTGCAATATGATTGTTAGATACGATTTTATGCGACAAAACGTTGGAATATTGATTTTTGGGCGCTAGTAGTACATACCTACGCGCTTTGCGCTTAAGGAATGCAATAGTATTCTGTTTTATTATCTTTATGTATAAAAATTACATGTCACGTTGTTTGTCCATGATGTACTCCTAAACTACTGAATTGATTTCAATGAAATTTTGCACACTGTGTGCAGTTTGGTCCAACTTGAGAGATATGATAGTTTTTATCCCGATAAGTGACCCTCAATTTTTTTATTTCTAATCTCAGGAGTTTTTTTTTTTTTTGGGAAAGCAAATGGTCGTCGGAAAGGGCAGAACAACGTCTGCCTGGTCATCTAGTTAGAATATAAAAACCTTTATTTAACAAACACAATAAAAATAATAAAATATGATTGCTAGATACGATTTTATTCGATAAAACGTTGGAATCTTAATTTTTAGGCGATAGTAGAACATACCTTGCGCTTTCGCTTAAGATATGTAATAAAAGCAAAATAGTAAGTGCAACTCTGGTGGTACCATGGTGGTACCGACACTATCTTAGGGAACAGACTATACAATGTTCCCTGAAATTTTTCTGGGGAAATTAATTAGTTTTGAATTGATGATTGATTTTTTCAAGTACTTCAAGTGTTCACTTTAAGCGTATGAAATCAAGATACAGCCCATTTACAAGTTCATACGATAGTCTTCAAGACTGGGACCGGTCATGCGGGGCGCATAATCTTAGAGTCGTTCAACCCTTCTTTAAGAATCTTGAGTGTGTAGAATCGAACGCCTTCCACCAAGATCAATTACGTTACCATTTTCAGATACACCCATCTCGTTGTCGGAACCCAGCGGGGTGCGGTGCTGGTCTGTGACGCAAAGGCACAATAACCATGCTCTCAATAAATAGTATTTTATTAATAAAATATGAAATTTTCCATAAAGGATTAAAAGCTTATAATTTAAGCTTTCGTTACAATATTATTTTATTTAAGGTAACAGTATGCCACGTATCTTTTTGTAAGCAAATGTTTATTTACAATATTTTTTCGCATTCGAAATCCAAGCGAATAGCTACATAAGTCCACTTACGTTATTTTAGGTCCGGCAAAAATAACTACGCGTTTTATGGTATGATATGTGCATTTAAAATATTATTCCCTTCAAGAACCGCTCGCTAAGCGTGGCAAATATGGCAATATTCCCCCCATGAGAGTAACGAAGAGACGGCCCCCAGTCCCCGGCGGCCCCGCTGTTCCTGGCTACGGTGGCGACCATGGTAACGGTGGGGCAGGGGGTGCTAAGAATCTCCGGTGGAGGTTCGGTTGCCACCTACGACAACTCGACCTGGCAATTTATAACGCACGCACCCTGAGGACTGACGGGAAAATCCTAGAGCTGGAAGAAGATATTTAGAAGTTGCGCTGGAATATCATCGGATTATCCGAGGTCTGAAGAGAGGGGGAGGACACGGTAATCCTCGAATCCGGCAACTTGCTCTATCATCGGGAGGGTGACCATCTGTCCCTAGGAGGTGTCGGATTTATCGTCTACAAGTCTCTCGTTAACAACGTTGTAAAGATTGAGAGTGTGTCGACGAGGGTTGCGTACTTTATACTCAGAATCACCAAACGGTATTCGCTGAAGGTCATACAGGTTTACGCACCAATCTCGGCACACCCCGATGAGGAGGTTGAGGAAATGTAAGAGGATGTCTCTAGAGCCATGCATTCCTCCAAAACCGACTATACGGTATTAATGGGAGACTTCAACGCAAAACTAGGCACAAGAGAGAACGGTGAGCTGAAAGTATGGAAATTCGGAATAGGGCAACGGAACCCAAGAGGCCAGCAGCTGACCGACTTCATGGAAAAAGAGGGACTCTTAATGATGAACTCTATCTTCCAGAAGCAGCCCCACAGGAAGTGGACTTGGTCGAGCCCCAACAGTTCGACAAAAAATGAGATTGAATTCATTATGACGACCAGACGACAACTGTTCAGTGATGTCTCAGTGATCGCGAAGGTGAAAACCGGCAGCGATCACCGAATGGTGAGAGGCACACTGAACCTAAACGCTAAGTTGGAGAGGTCACGTCTAATGAAGTCAACGCTCCGTCCCCCTCGTGTTCTAATCCAAAGTCCCGAAACCTTTCAGCTCGAGCTACGAAACCGTTTTCAGTGCCTAGAAGATTGCAATGCAGTGGACGATATGAATGGCAAGCTCGTGGAAACTGTCCATGCGGTCGGAGCTAAGTTTTGCAAGACCCGCCGCAGAAGAACACAATAACTCTCCGATCACACTCTTAATCTCATGGCTGTTAGACGGGATATGAAGCTGCAGTCTTCAGTAGATTTGACAGCATACAGGCAACTGAACAGACAGATCTCCAAATGCATGCGGCCGGGACTTACGCAACTTTAATACTGCTCGTATTAAAGAAGCGATCGAGCGGAACCAGGGCTCCAAAGTCTTTGCTAGAGATCTGTCTGCCAGAAAGAATCAACTGTCGAAGCTGAAGACCGAGTGTGGCAGCGTCATTTCCGGAACATCTGAGATTTTGAGTGAGATTGAGAGGTTCTATGGGCAGCTGTACACATCGTCGTTGGAGCCACATGCAAGTGTGAGTAACGATCCAAGAGCGAGTCTTTCTTTTTTTTTTTTTTAAAAAAGTTACTCCCACACTAGGATTTTCTCCTGTATCGTGGAGGCAGTTTACAAACACAAATTTCACAAGGACAAACGTCCAGACCCGGAACAATCATTTGTAGGCCATACAAATACTTGTTCCGTACGGGATTCGAACCCGCGCCCCCCAGCGCAGCAACTCATTGCTAAGCCACTGCGCCACGGAGCCGTCGAGTCTTATCCGACATTATTCCGATGATATCCATGACGTCAGTCTGAGCGAGATTAGAATGGCTCTCCAGCACCTTAAAAACGGCAAGGCCCCAGGCGAGGATGAAATTACAGCGGAGCTTCTGAAAACGGGTGGAAAACCGGTACTTGAAGTCCTTCAGAAGCTCTTTAATTCCGTCCTCCATGGTGACATTACACCGTAAGCGTGGAGCAGAAGTGCGGTGGTCTTGTTCTTCAAGAAAGGCGACAACGCTCTCTTGAAGAACTACATACGGATTTCCCTACTAAGCCGCGTCTACGTGCTGTTTTCGTGAGTCATTACGAATCGTCTCGCGCGCAGATTTGACGACTTCCAGCCTCCCGAACAAGCCGGTTTCCGAAAAGGATTTAGCACCATATACCACATACATACCCTTCGGCAAATTGTAAAAAAGGAGTAAATTTGCCGCTATAATAATAATAATAATAATAATAAGTGTTTATTTCAGACGTAAGGAACATCCATAGATTGTTAGTATGTTAGTAACAATTTTTCCTTAACTTGTAAGTATTAGTATTGTTAGTTAATGTGAATTATGTACAAATTATTTTTTTCGCCCAATAGCTACCGTCATACAGTGGTGCAGTATGGGGCAGTCGGACCTGGCAGCAATTACCCTTAGGATGCCGTTGTTGCTGGTACGTAAGCGCTGCAGGAGAGACGCTGCTTTTCTACGCATTATGGCGAAAAAGTCATTAGTGTGTGCGTCTGCGAACATTTTAGAGGCACTACAGCGCCACGGTAGCCTCAACAGCATTCTAAAAGCGTTGTTATATTGAACACGCAGGGCGCTGTAGGTCCGGCGTGTATAAGTCACCCACAGACCACGTCTGGCGTATGTGGACTATGAGAAAGCCTTTGATTCCGTCAAAATTTGTGCGGTGCTGCAGTCCCTTCAGCGGTGCCAAGTTGACTAATTGGTATATCGAAGTGTTGAAGTGCTTGTACAGTAGGGCTACGATGGCTATTCGAGTACAGAACCAGAGTACGAAAAATATGCAACTGCAGAAAGGTGTAAGACAGGGTGACGTCATATCCCCGAAACTCTTCACCGCTGCATTGGAAGACGTTTTCAAGCTTCTGAACTGGAAGATTATTTTGTCAAATCTGCTTTTCGTAACTGGATAATTAATTAAAAATAAAGCAAATAGGGAGAAAATAATTAAACCTTTATATAGAACTTAAAAAATATTGCAATTAAATATCAAACATCATACATAAATTATCGTTATTTCGACCTCCCTGCAAATCTCATTATTTGAGTAACGATGTTATTCGATTCATGTGTCGTATCTAATCTTATCTATAGACGATTAGACGTAACTACCTAAACGTTCAGAAGTTGTTCCAAAGTTCAACTGTCAGATGTCCAAAACAATTAATTTGTCACTTTTTGTCTGTTGTCATTGTCAGTCTCAGTTTTATAAAGCAAAGCAAGAGTTAGATGTGTTCGTGTACAAAATAATTATTTAAAACTAACAAAAATTAATATACAGTGCTACATTGCTTGAAAAAAAATTATAGCATATTATAAAATACGTACAAATATTGAGGTAAATTATCGTAATTTCCTGGTATATAGTGTATTATCTATGATCGTAGTTTTAACAAAGTTTAATGGTCAGTTGTTTGGGCCCAGGTCTCTCGTAAAAGTATCTAATTAATGATTTAGTTTTTTTGCATCGTCTTCTTTTTGATAAGTTTTAAATATACTGTAATTTTCAAAATGTTATTCAGATATCTTGCCCAATCGACTTTTAAAAGATCTTTTCACGTATCAACAAAATTAAATCAAGCAATGGGAATTGACGGTAGCAACATCTTAGCTGAAAGCTTAAAAAAACAGGTAGGTATTAGCAATTAGAACTTCAGTTCTTTTTTTACATTGTATTTTTTATTATACTGAATAATTATTTTCACTGTTTTAATAATGCAATGAGACTTATACCTTTAATTGACAGGGTGTGGAATATGTGTTTGGCATAGTGGGTATACCCGTAATTGAAACATCTTTAGCATTTCAAGCTGCTGGATTGAAATATGTAGGAATGCGTAATGAACAAGCAGCATGTTATGCAGCACAAGCAATTGGTTATCTTACTGGTAAGTTCTTTATACTTTGTAACCAGCATTCTGAATCCACTATTAAACATAGGGCATACTAAAAATATACTAAATAAGACATTACTTAAAATATTAACTTTTAGTCACTACACTTATAAAGCTGGTTATTGTACACAGAAACAACACTTAAACACTTGTAACTACTGGTACTGCTGCCATGATCAGACCCTTTTTGAGGATTTGAGCTTAGTCTAATTCACTGTATTTTCTGTCATCAGTTTCTAGAGTTTTATTAGTTACAATTGCAAAAATAAACATGGGATATATTAGCAGTTTGCTGTTTCAAAAGTTAGTATAATCCCTAATAATTTATTTCATTCATTCATTACATAATATGCTCAGCAATGTTAGTGTCAGCAGTGGCAAAAGCCTTCCATGTAGATTGCCTCATAAGATATTTTCCATAGTTGTCAGTTGTCACGCTTGGCAGGTGGATGGGCAACCACAAATTTTGATTAATTTGAGTTGTTATGTACTGCTACCCACTTCCAGTTTATTTTTCCTTTGTTGCCTCAGATTACCTTTTGCCACTACTACTCGGGGAAGTGTCACAGGACTGATTGAGTTGTCCATTCTTTGAGCTATATGGCCAGCCCATTGCCACTACAGCTTACTAATCCGTTGGGCTATGTCGGTCAGTCTGGTTCTACTGCCGATATCCTAATTTCTAAGTTTATCATGCAGAGAAACCTCAAGCGTAGCTCGCTGAGCAACCTTGAGCTTCCTCATACGGCCAGCAGTGAAAGACCACGTCTCAGATCCATAAGTCATCACTAGCAAGTTGCCAGTGGCAACATTTACTGGTTTTGTAATCTCGTTTTCAAGTTTTGAGGTATACCTGACGTGAAGATGTATAGTAATTTCCCAGTCACTGCCCAGCCGGGTTGAATCTGTCGATCGACCTTTCGGTTGAAGTTGGACTTAGTTTAGTTTACGACGGGCTGATTTCCGCAACTCCACGTCTATGCGCGTATTTTGCGTGTGGGCAGGAATAATATGCTTATTCGAGCCATGAGATCTCCCCGAAGAAGCTCAACAGTCCTTTGATGTTGCATGCAACTTCGGGGAGTAATCTTAGCGTGCCGAGATGTTTAGCCCAGTACGTAGTAACCTCCGGACATTTCAATCTCACATGGGCCACCGTTTCGTCCTCCCCCATACAAGCCCTGCACAGGGGACTATTTGTAACACCTATAGTAAATAAATGTTTGTTAAAGGTGCCGTGTCCTGTGATAGCACTTGTTACTATCCTCATCTGCAGCTTGTTCAGTCTCATTAGAACTTTGGTTAAACAACTGTTTATTTCAGGTAGGGTCTCCCTAGCTTGTCTACAGTCTACTAGATTTTTCCAAAGCTGAGCGTGTTGATTAGTGACGTGTCTACGTACCAGTAAACGAACATTACCAAAGGGGATTGGTATGATTGGTTCCAGCCCTATAGTGGCCAGAGCCGATCCTCTTCTGGCCAGTTCGTCTGCTGCATCGTTGCCTCTGGATCCACTGTGTCCCTTTATCCATTGCAGATTCACATTGTTGTTTTTACATACCTCATTTAATCGTTGATGGCATTCATATATTAGTCCCGAGTTCACCACATTGCAACTCCGAGCTTGTAGTACCACCCTACTATCGGTCAGTATTCTGATGGGGAAGTCATTAACCTTCCTAGCATCTAATGCTATGGCCGCTTGAATGATACCCATACATTCCGCCTGAAAGACTGTGTTATAGGTACCCAGCGGTGTGCATATGTGAATATTGAGGTCTTCAGAGAAAGTTCCAGAACCTACACCTTCATTTGTTTTAGAACCATCGGTAAAAACTCTAAGCTCTTTTGGGCTTAATCCTTCCGGCTGGCTGGTTTCATTTAATTGTATCTTATACTTCTTATCAAATACAAATTGTTTAGGAATCTTATCGTACTTGGCTCGTAAGATAGGAATTTTTGAGTGAATTCTATCAATTATGCCTGTATGGGGTACTCTATTGTTACTACAAAGATTTAGGGTCTTGAGTCTGATGGCAGCTAAAGTCGCTTCTTGTTGTATATGTAGATGAAGCGGGGCTAGCTCTAGCATCGCTTCTAAGGCTGCTGTTGGCGTAGTCTTTATGCAGCCTGTGGCAGCCATACATGCGAGTCTGGTAGCGTTGAAGCTTCTTTATAGTGGTGGCTTCATTTGTCTTGGTCCACCATACCAGAGCGCCGTATGTGATCATTGGTCGAATTACAGTTTTGTACAGCCACAGTATGATTTTTGGCGTCAGTCCCCATCTTTTGCCAATCATGTTTCTGCATTGCCAGAAAGTTATACGAGGGTGGATTGAAAAGTACTCGGCCTAACCAAGAAAATAAACACATAGATACTAAATCAGTTATATTTTTATTTTTCTACATAATCACCATCAAGTTCAATACACTTTTGCCACCTCCCCTTCCAAGCATTTAGACCGTTGAAAAAAAATGATTCTTCCTTAGAGTCAAAATATGCGTCTACAACTGCTTTGACCTCGTCGTTTGTCGAAAATCTTTGACCTCCCAAGTGCTTTTTTAGGTTAGGGAACAGAAAGAAGTCTGATGGTGCCAGATCAGGTGAATACGGCGGATGCGGTAACAGTTCAAAGCCACAGTTGTGAATTTCAGCCATTGACTGTACTGACGTGTGAACACGGGCGTTATCTTGATGAAACAGGACTTTTCTTCTGAGCATTCCTCGACGTTTTTCTTTTATTTCCTCTTGTAAACGACGTAGTAAGGTGCAGTAGTAATCAGAGTTTATATTCTGACCCCTTTCAAGATAATCAATCATAATCACACCTTTCGAGTCCCAGAATACTGAAGCCATCACCTTATTTGCCGACAAAATCAACTTAGCCTTTTTAGGGGGTGGTGAACCAGGTCTTCTCCACTGTTTTGATTGTTGTTTTGTTTCCGGTGTACAGTAATGAACCCATGTTTCGTCCATAGTAACAAAACGATTCAAAAAATCATCTGCATCGGCTTCAAATAACTCCAAACAGTCGCGTGAAATAGTCAATCGCGTCCTTTTTTGTTCAACTGAAAGCAGTCGCGGAACCCACCTCGAAGAGACCTTGTGGAAACCCAACTCGTTGACAATGATGTTTTGAGTTCGTTCATAAGAGATGCCTATAATCTCGGCTATCTCTCTAATTTTTAATCTGCGGTCTCCCATTATTAAATCAAGTACTTTTTTAATATTTTCGTCAGTAGTTGACGTCGAAGGCCTTCCAGAGCGGGGTTCATCTTTCACACTCTCTCTACCACGCTTAAATTCTGCTATCCATTTTTTGACGGATGAATATGACAGAGCACAATCGCCTAATGTACTGACCATGTCATCATGGATGGCTTTTGATGATAGCCCCTTCTTATGGAGGTACTTAATGAGGGCACGCTGCTCGATTTGCTCCATTCGCGGAAATTATGTCCGATTACTTTGTTAATAAATTTATAAAATCACAACTAATTATCGCACACGTTTCGAACTTCACACAATGAACTAGTCTGAACTGAACTAAATAATGTGGGTAGATTTGATTTTTAGAATTGAATGGATCTGTGTTAGGCCGAGTACTTTTCAATCCACCCTCGTACTAGCTTTGTTGATTTTGTTATCTATGTGTTTATTCCAGTTAAGTTTGCTGTCCAAGGTAAGACGTAAATATTTTATTTTGTGCTGAAAAGACTTGGGAGATGATAGTTATTCAGCATTCATTTTTGTGTGAACATTACTAGAACCGTTTTATTTGGATTGACGGTCAAGTCATATTCCCTGCACCATTTCTCCACTATACGGAGAGCCGCTTGGGTCAGGTCGCACACTACGCTTGCTGTCTTTCCAGAGACCAGTATTGTCAGGTCATCAGTATAACCTACTTTGTAGAAGTAATTGGCTTTAATTTGCTGATGAGTTCATTAATGACCATATTCCACAAGAGAGGTGAGAGAACCCCACCCTGCGGGCAGCCTTTCTTAATCTGGATTTGTTGAGATTCAGGGCCATGAATACCTCACGTTAAATTTACCTTCTTACGTTTTCTATCTGGTTATTTACCCCACCACGGTTGCTTTACCTCAGCATGCCTTGGTGGAGTGATTTCTGGACATGATTCATGGTAGCTGTCCATCATGGCTTTAGTAACACCTGCTACCTGTTCTTCTAGGGGCGACTGATCTGCTATAGTATTTGTCCCCTCAAATCCCGCGAGCGAAGACGTCAGCCTATTAAGGTATTTTGTTTTATCCGTCTTGCGGGAATTTCTCCATGGTGGTGTAGCGGGGATATCGACCTGTAGTGCGAAGCAGATCCATCTATGATCTGAGGATAAGGCCTCTTTCGACACATGCCATCCCGTAATTAGTTTAGCTGCTCCTTCTGTTGTAAGTGTGAGGTCGATTATTGTGCGACAACGTTTGTTTATGAAAGTTGGATCAGAACCTGTGTTTAAAATGGTTAAGTTAGTACTAAATAGATATTCAACTAAAACTTTACCTCGTTCATTCCGTCTTTCCATTCCCCAGAGGGGATGATGCGCGTTGGAGTCTGTCCCGATCACAACCTCTAGTCCGGCCCTCTCGCAGAAGTTCACCAGCCTGACAAGGTCATTAGGGGGAGGAGTGTCTTCCTTCGGCATGTAGACTGAGGCGACGTCTAATCTTCTCTCCTGTATATATTGTATTGTCACATGTCTCTAGAACAGAAATCTGTTAATGGTTGTGCACACATATATTTAGTAGTGTAAATACACGCTCTAGGCTTGTCGTGCTCAGAGCTGTAGAATAGCTTACCTTTTAGGTTGTTTAGGCCTTTGATTTTACCAGCCCCAAGCCACGGCTCTTGGATTAAGGCTATGGCCGTCCTTTGAACCTCCAACCACTTGCGTAATTGAGCCGACGCAGTTTCGCTGTGGTTGAGGTTGGCCTGCACTAGGCTAGTTTTGGACGAAGGGCACGCCATCATTGATCGCGTCCTCCTCGGCCCCGCCCAAAAATAAACCTGCCAGCAGATCTCTGGTTTCATCGTCAACTACTGAGTCGGAAGTGGTCAGCAAAATGCAGTCCTCTTCGTCACTCAGTGAGCTGCCGCTGAGCCCGATCTCTACTGGGGACTTCGGCTCAATTGTACAGGCCGTTTTTTCACTGGACTTGGCATCTAGTGATTTCGCTGTACCGGTGACCATGGCCCCGGTACCGAGTTATTTTCCGCCTCTTCGCTTGGTGGAGTGTCAATGAATTTACCTCCACGGAATGTTACGTATACCGCCCCACATACACATGCGAGACGGCGTCCGGCTTTCATCAGGGTCGGGATATGATCCTCCGGCACCGAAACAACGAGAAACCCGTCCGTCTGCTTATCTGCCTTGAGTAGCAGCCAGTCCCTGGTGTTAAGCCAGCGGTTCTGGTACGCCAGCACACGACCAATGTCGCGTGAGTCTTTCCAGGCTCCCTGGGCATTAGGGATAAGGACATTTAACTCTTTGTGATATCTCCGACTGTTTCTTTATGGTCAGCGAGGTGTTCGATTTAAGGTCGAGGGTAGCAATATTCCCCTTCAACCAATCTAGATCCTTCTGATCGTCGCACCACAGCTTCATGGCACCCTCCGTGTAAACGAGTTTGCCTCTAAAAACTGGGCCCGACGCATCCGTGTCCTGGCTACTCCAGGCCTCCCAGATCACTTCCTCTGTATTGCCACGAAGATGTCGTCCTTCGTTAGCGCGCACACGTTAAGGCCACACCCAAATCTGCTTTAGCAGCGGAAGCGTAGCTTGTTCTTGCAGCCTTTGGTTGCTGTTCAAGTCGCACTTTTTTTGTGCTCGCCTCTCGGCGAGGTGGGCTCTTCCAGCATCCTCTTGGCTGCTCTTTCCTTCTTGCCAGGACGCTTGGCCGCTCGCTGCTTCTTGGCGGATATCCTAGAGCTGGTCCCCGCTACCGCGACTTCCACTTAAGCTGGATTTTTATCCTTCCAGTTTCAGCGTGGCTACTGGTTCCAGCCTCAAGCACCCCAGTCGCAGTAACTTGTCCAGCCTCCTTGGATTTAGTTTTAGAAGCAGCCAGCGCGGCTCGTTCTCTTCGACCTTTATCCCGCTGCTTCTTATTCTTCTTTTTGGCCTTTCCACTACTGCTTGCAGGGATAAACCCTCCTGATGGTCCCTCAGGTCGGCAAGTCACCTTTTTGGATGCCTAGCCTTTCCCTTACGGCTCACCACTTGCCAGGCAGCAGAGAAAAGGTCGTCCGTACTCTGTGACTCCGCAGGAGTTTTGTTACTCGCGGGATCTTGCGCCTTTTTCTCGTCCAGCTCCTCAGGTTCGGAACTGGTTTTGGAAACGTTCAGCGCGGAAGTTGTCCCCTTGGTGGGGCCACCTACGCTGGATGGTACTGTCCGTGGAACCGTCGGTTTAATGGCGGCTCCCCTTTGTTCTTTGGTGTCTGTGGTAAGCACCTCTGATACCTCTCCCCCTTTCTTCTTACTGGGCCTTAAATTGTCAATATTAATTTTGTGCCCACACCTTTGGGGACGCCCTACTTAAAAAAAAAAAGAATTTCAGGCTTTAGAATTACCGGGAGAATATAAGGACGCGAAGTTGGCTCACAGCGCGACATTGGTAGCTCGATCCAGCTGGTAGATGGGGCTGACAAGACCCATCCCCACTACCCGAGTAAACTGTCACTTCCTCCGTCAGCATGGCCTTTACCACCACCCAGCCCCTTTTCAGGTAAACTAGGCAGCCCCCACATCCCCCGCCTGCAAACCTTTTGATGGGGCGCTTGGCCATTTCACTATGTGTGGCTAGCAGATAGGGCCACCGTTTAGCTTGAAATCCGGACCAAAGAGGGCGTGTTGCCGCCTCTCGTCACAATATACCCCAGCGACGATCGGCTCAACCCTCCAGGACTCCTTAATCCCCGCGTACGCCGCTCAACTGCGCAGGTCCTAGCGCAAATGGGTGTGTTACTCCACTGAATACACCCACTCTCTCCGGCGAAACCACCCCTCCTCCTTTCTCATCCGGGCTTGGGACAGGCAATGGCGGAGTTGATGAATCGTTGAATTTTAAGGTATACCTGACGAGAAGATGTATAGTAATTTCCCGGTCACTGGCCAACCGGGTTGAATCTGTCGATTGACCTTTCGGTCGAAGTTGGACTTACCTAATCGGACTATTTGTCCCAGGTAAATATACTCTCCAATAACTTCGAACTTAGTGCTCCCACCAACTACCGGCATAAGTGTGACATGCGCGTTACACACAATACCATACCACCATACCACTAAATGATAAATATGAATAAAATTTATATTTAATTATAGGAAAGCCAGGTGTATGCTTGGCTGTCTCAGGGCCTGGACTCCTTCACTGCATCGGAGGAATGGCCAATGCCCAAGTGAATTGTTGGCCGTTACTTGTCATCGCCGGGTCTTGTCCAGAAGACCATGAAGGTATAGGAGGTTTTCAAGAATGGCTACAGGTACAGTTGTATGTTAATTAATAATCTAATATATAAAAAATAATTTTTGTTTGTTCGTATTTTATGCACCGCCATACTGTTCATCAGATTGCACTAAAACTTTGTCAACATATTGCTTGTACTTGTGAGGTTATAGGCATAGTACCTACAATTAATTAACAATAGGTGGGGCGCGTATCGTACCAACAAATTTATTTTTAAGTTATACATCACTCAACTTTAATGAATGTGAATGAATGAATGAATCTTTCCTAATTAAACAACATAACTTCCAAATTTCGACAGTTATTTTTTCTTTGGCAGCAATGCGCCGGGTACCAACTAGTATTATATTAATAATAATTATAGTATACTTACAGTCACAATTAACCGCCCACCACATATTTTTTAATTATTTCCATAAATTGCTGAAAATAAACTTTAATTTTGTTTTTGTGTCTTAGGAGTAAATTAAACAAAACAATAAATGATAAAATGTAATGAAAATGTTTAGAAATTTTTATGAAAAATTTAATAAACGGAAATTAAGTGTTTTTACAAAAAACAGTATTGAAAAACAAAAACAATTTTTGATGAAAACTTTTTTCATTCTTCCAATTTAATAATGGATGTTGCCTCCCCTGGCTCTAATGACTTCTTGTGACCGGCTTGGTAGTCCATCCGTAGTATCCCGGATATCAGATTGAGGAATATTGTGCCGTTCCTCCACTACACCTTCTTTCAACTCTCGTGTGGTGGCAGGAGCTGGTATCCTGGATTTAATGTGTCTTTTGAGGTTGTCTCATGTGTTCTATGGGGTTGAGGTCGGGACTCCGTGCGGGTCATGGCAGTTTTTCAATTCAGACCTCAATCAGGTATTCAGTAACACTGGGCAATATGGGCTCTAGCATTATCATGCATCAAAAGAAAATTCTGACCAATAAAAGGGGCAAAAGGAATGACATGTTCTTGTTCTTTTTTGCGGTAAAAGCGCAAAAATTGTGTCATCTGGGTATTGAACTGGACTAGATTTAATCGCTTACTATCCGAGACTTTGTTCAACAAAGACTCGACTTCAGACACGAGTTTGTTCCGGTGCTCGACGACATTTTCCCGAGAAATATTGGCACAGCCGGTGTATAGAGCATCACCAGTGCTGTCATCCGCATAGCAATGAATGTTACCGGTTAGCAACATATCATTGATATGCAGAAGAAACAGCGTTGGTGATAGCACACAGCCTTGTGGAACACTTAATAGGCTTGTAGTCGGAGCATGCACCGTCTACAACGACCTTGATGCTCCGATCTGCAAGAAAACTGGTGTACTTCACGAGCTGGCAGTTTATAATGGTTTCCATTATTTTGGAAAATAAGGATAGGCCTGTAGTTGGATGGATCTGAGCGGTCGTCTTTATTAGGGATCGGTTCGGGACTTCGCCTAAGGAGTAGGAGTGCCGGAAAAGACGCGTAAAAACCGGTGCCAATTCCGTAGCACACGTCTTCAGCACAATTTTTTTTTTCTATATATGGACCAACCACATCTACTCTGTTTGCGATAAATTGAGAGCAATTTTGGCAAAGTTTTCACTAATTAAATAGAAAATACCCTTTTCAACTAAAATGCTGCTGTACAAAGCATTAGGAGAATCTAAGAATTCTTAAAAGCATCGTTTCACCTCACATAAAAGACAAGTACAGACACAATTATGATTGTCTATTTAGTTACTGTAAAATTATTCCCGTCCATGAGAAAGTTAGATTAACTTTACTTAACGAACAGTTTTTTTAACAAAGACATACAACACTTAATTGATCATAAAAAAACCGGCCAAGTGCGAGTCGGACTCGCACACCGAGGGTTCCGAACAAATCTGTAGGTATGTAAGTTTAAAATTATTAAAAATATTTTTATTATATGATGTGGTTAAACTATAGACATCCGGTACTCGCCTACGTGGTTGGGAGGGGGAGGGGGAGGGGGGGGGGGTCAGGGGAAGCCCCCCTACCCTTCCCCGCTTGCGGAAATGTATAGTTTATGAGTAATAATTTCTTTTGTAAAATCATAACCTCACTTTTTTACATAGGAATATTGACACAAAGTTACTTCTGTAACGGCTTCGGCGCTACGGGAAATGCAGCCCCATCGCCCTTGCGTAGCAAATCGCAGGCCCCCGAGCGAGTCGTAGCGGCTGAGGCTGGTCGCCGAAGGCGACCAATAAGCCGAAGCTGCGGAGGTGAGTATTTGCTACAACGGGCGGGGGCTGCTTTCCCTCCGCGCCTACGGCTTTAAAAAACACTCTAGGGGTAGGGCAGACAAGACTACGTGGAGTCGGGGTGTTCTGAGTCAGTTTTAGTACAAATTCGATCTATCTTATCTAAAGTCAGGTTTCCCTAAACTCTGCTATGATAGTGGTAAATGAAACAATGTAATTTTAATTATTTAATTTATTTTATACACATGCTTTATTGCTCGCATAATTTCTTTGAATGGATCCTTTTTAAACTTTTCTACATTTCGTCTCCACAAATACTCTACTATCACGTCTGTAAAACTTTGAGAATTATTATAATTTTGTTTTCTAAAAAACCTCTTCACTGCTCTCCACTGCGACTCAATTCGTTGTGTATGAGTCCCATCTTCAGCCACAAATGGATTGTCTGGGTCTGAGTGGTTAACTTTTTTATGTGTGTACCCGTGTTCTGCCAAACAATCATATGCCCGCCAACAATCAGTATGAATTGTGGTACCCGCCGCCACATGTCTCTGTATAAGCGGCACCAGTACCTCAGCAGACCTAATATTGTCCGGGCACACCTCTAGTCTGAGATCCTCAGACCCATCTTCTATCATACCGAGCACCCAGTGGCCTTCGATGTGACGTCCTATAACAAATAAAATTAATATTAGACATTTAGTATGACAAAAAAAGGTGTAAACATAATCATACTTATATTTACCTTTATTGTATTTTCGTTTTCCAAATTTGCTCTCATCAATTTGTACAATTTTACCAGGGCCACCAATCTTTCCAGTAAACTGATTCTGTTTCTCGAGGTAGTAAATAACAACTACCTCTCTGCAGTAATTGTACCAATCACATATTGTATTTGGGCTTAAACATTGTTGTCTCTGTCGTTTATATGGGTCTTCATGGATTGTTTGATTATAAGACCATCCTTGTGAATATGCATATATGAGGTAATATATGTGGGGCATATCAAGAGTTACATTTTCAAAAAAAGTCCCTTGTCGTCGTGAGGTTTTAACTCCACTGCCTCCAGCTTTCCCCTTACAGGATGCTTTAGCACATATGAAAGTACCAAGCGATTTGCAGCCACTTGAGTATGAAATTTTCATATTAGTTTTATGTTTGCCGCACTTTCGTTCCTTTAGGACCAGCCCTTCATCCTCACTATATCGAACACATTGCTCGTTCGTTCCAAGTTCACGCACAATATCCGACAGATTCCACATGAACATAATCTCAGACACGTATAGTCGACGCTTCACATAGTCGCCGTCGTCAGAGAAGTCTTCGTCGATGTGTGATGGTTCCTCGAGTAAAGCGTCAGATGCCGAAGAAGGCCCCGCTACGGGTTCGTAATCGCTCATTCTCAGGTCCAGTAAGCAAGCCAAAGTCCAAAGTAATGCAATCCAATCAAAACCAGAAACAAAGCCAAGGTCAAACGTAAGGGCAATCAAAGAAGTCCAAAAACAGAGCAGAAGTCGTCGAAAAAACAGGGAAAACACAGCACTAAGCACAAAAAAGAACATTCGCGTGACTACTAGAGAAACGGAATGACAATTTACATTTGACATCATAGATAATATATTATATTTGACATTTACGGTTGCCGACAACATGGCCGTCAACAACCGTTCCGATTCACACTTTTTGCATCTGTTTTTGACATCTAATCTCATAACACTATACAAAATTGTCATATTTGCGTTTCGTTATACGGAATTTTTATTGAAATTTATTTTTGTCATAATTAATTAAAAACGCATTTCCGACATTCAAAAACAGTTTAAAATGTTCATGCTTAACCCTGACAAGCCTCCTAAGTTGAAAACATAACTAAAATCAAGTACCGGATATCTATAGCCAACCCTATGATGTAACTAAAAATTTATGCTTTTCGCAATTTTTTCTTTATTTGTGCTATAAGACGTTGCTTCGTACCAAATTTCAAGATTCTGAGTTCACGGGAAGTACCCTGTAGGTTTTGATTCCCTTGCGAATGTGAAAAATTTACGGCACGGCATAAACGGCTGTATCTTTTGATTGCGTGGGCTTAGAAGTTTGATTTTTTCACAGCTCTAAGGGACAGTAGACTTGAGTATTTGATATGAATTTCAGCTTGATGCCTCCACGCGTTCCTGAGAAAAAGGGTCTTGACTGACAGACAAACGGACAACAAAGTGATCCTATAAGGGTTCCGTTTTTTCCTTTTGAGGTACGGAACCCTAAAAACACACTCGCAGTGTGTCAAAAGCTTTGCTGAAAATATCACGATCTCAAAATTATTACGGAAGACAACAACTTGCCTAAAACTAATAAATGAATTACCCTTTATGCAAAATATGTAAAGAAAATTAAAACTATTTTATTTAGATGAAATAAAAAATGTGTATATTTGTATGTATATGATATGTATGTTTGTATTTGTATATGTATGTATATATATAATTTAAATAAATAATACATTATATATAAATAAATAATTTAAATATTACATTAGTTAACAATTATAAATAAATTTACATTTCTCTCGTTGCAAACAATTAAAAAATAATTCTTAACGAAACCTAAATATTAATTCTATGACAATGTCTACTATTACACTTTCCTCACTTTTTGGGGAAAATGTCATTTACTTGCAAACATACTCATTTGCTTGTGTGTGTGGGCAAACGTAACTATAGGCCGCTTATGCAAACATTCATTGTGTTGTTGCTTCAACTTTTAACGGAATTTTGAATGACACTATCACTCAAGTTTAATTACTCTTATGTGTATACCGATGATTTTCTGTGTTAGATTACTACATTATCAAAACTGAGATTACTTGCCAACCGTGGTACAGTTAGAATCTACCGCTTGTAAACATCCTGTGTACGTTCATTGGTCAGCCAGTTTTGTGCGACTGAGTAATGATACATTTTTACTACGCGTGATTGTACGCATTGCGAGCGTGTAGATCTTCGCTACGATTTTAAAGCATATTTACCGTTATTTAACATGTTTACCGTAATATGTAATAGACAATGTCTTTACGTAGGTTAAGCACCAAGCGCCGTCGATGAAGCACGATACACCTTGTTAGATTCTTGCGACACGGTGTTTAATTAATTTAAGCTTTGTATTTGATTTATTTTAATAAAAAAAAATAGGAATCCATCTATCCATCAGGCCCACTCGACTTGTTGACGTCTAAGGAGAAGAGTGCTTTGCGCACCGAGCGCTGTGTAAACAGTACATCCTGCATGGAGCAACACACCGCAGGATGGTTGGCGGTGTGTTGCCCCCGACTTCGAGAGTCGAGTTGGATACAAAGAGAGATCCTAGAGATAGAAGAGATGCCTAACAAAAGTTATAATATATACTCGTATGTCTAGATGTCTTGCACTTTTGACGCTGCTTCCCATCACGAGTAATTTTAATTATAGAAAATGTTTTTTTTATATATTTTTGTCATATACTAAAGATAATTGGATATTAAAGTTACTAAACATGATTAGTTATTAACAGTTATAATATAATTTTATTCAAGCCAAATTGCACGATATTTTGTATACATATTCCTATCAAATATTATGAAAGATAAATTTGTAATATCTACCAATGTATATTAAAATGATAATGTCATTTTGTTATCTTTTCGTATTGATAAAAATATGTATGTGTATGTTCATTTTCTGTATGAATTTTATGACATTAAAAATACGAATAAAATTAAAATGACGGGAAGTATAATAATAATAATAATAATTCTTTTATTGTCAAAAATAAATCACAAGAAATTTTATGAAGTCTCTGACTCCTAAACTAGACAAGTCTGTATCTTAGGAATCAGCGGCCTCTCCCAGAGTTGTACTAAAAGAACGGGTAATACTAAAAGAACTATGCATGTTTTCATTGTTGAAACAAAAGAAAAGTAAACAACTTTACAAATTTAACAAATTTACAAAATTAAATCAAAAAATAATAAAAGTTGTAATATAATAAAGTATTCTATATGTGTTATATTTAATACTAAACATCTATACTATACATATATTTAATTTACGAGTACATATATACAAGACGAGCACACACATATATATGTGTATATATACTTATATAATTATCAAATATATATATATATATATATATATATATATATATATATATATATATATATATACATATATGAATATTAAAGTTCATATATAAATTATGCATAAACATAAACGAAACGTTAATATTAATTGTCCACACATTAATCACTTCCCTGTTTTGTTTATTTATTTATTTTGAAACTATAAATTAAATTAATAAATTAAATTAAATCAAATTAAATTAATAAATTTTCTGTTTTATTGTAATCTAGTGACAACAACCAATCACGAACTCTAATTTTACACTCGTGTTTTGAAAGAGGATAGAAATTTAGAATTTTGTTAAGTTTGTTATAGAGTACTATAGAGAGATATGCGCTTTGTCGTCTAGCAAAAACAGTGCGGCATCTAAACGGTGCCAGTACGTTGGGTATTCTACGTTTATTACGACAGATCTCAGGGTCGTAGGGAGTGCGATCGTGTTGCTTGATGATCAAATTTTGAACGTATAATTGCCTGACAGACAGCAACTTGCATTCGCTGTATAATAATTTTGTTGAGTACCTATAAGGTTTGAAAGTCATAGTTTTTAGTAAACATCTTTGTGCTCTTTCGAGCTTAATTAAAAAACTTTTGCACGATCCTCCCCAGACACTTATGCAATAGCCTATAATTGATTGTGCTAAAGTAAAGTATACTGTGCGCAATAAATCAAAATCAGCAATGTGTCTTAGCTTTTTAAATGTCCAAATAAGTATACGAGTCCGGGATGAAATAAGATCAATGTGTGGGAGCCAGCTAAGTTTTTCGTCTAACAACACGCCGAGGTATTTTACAGTTTTACATCTAGTTATATTAAGGCAAGAGCATTTGTCTGTTGACTTTAGATCACAAAAATGTACTTTCAGTTCAATATCCTCAACAGCTGGAGTATTGGTAATACGGAACTGTAAGTACGTTGATTTAGATACGTTTAGTGTTAGTAAATTGTCCTCAAGCCATTGTCCCACACATTGGAGACCCCTTTCAGCAATCACCTGAACGTCATCCCAAGTCTCTCCATAAAATATTATAGCCGTATCATCGGCATAAGTGAATGTTTTGCCATGTATTAATGGCATACGACAAAAGTCATTAATATAAATTAAAAAGAGACTTGGCCCTAGGATACTTCCTTGAGGGACACCAAAAGTGACACTAATATCAGAACTGATGAAACTTTTAATCTTAACTCTCTGCACTCGGTGACTTAAGAAGCTTTTAAAAATAGAAAGGGCCGAATTTCTAATTCCGATATTTTCCAATTTGTGTACAAGAATGGGAATCGAGACGGTGTCGAAAGCCTTTGCTAAATCAAGAAAAACACCCAAACATTTTTTTTTGTTTGTCCAACTTATTGGTTACAAATTCTGTCAAGCCTTTTACCGCATCTTCTGTGCTATTACCCGTTCTGAAACCGAATTGCGTGCTTGATAGAATATTGTATTTGGTCAGGAATTTTACCAAACGGTTATTCAACAGCCTTTCCAATATTTTCGAAAGAGCTGGCAGCACAGAGATAGGTCTGTAGTTTTCGACACTGTCTCGAGCTCCACTCTTGTATACAGGAGTAATGAGAGACCTTGTGAACACCTTTGGAAAGCATCCTTGTTCAAAACAAATTTTAAAGAGATTGGTAAGCGGTAATATAATTATATCTCTTATCATTTTAAGAAAAACGGCAGAGATAGAATCCCACCCAACAGCACAATCATTTTTAAGACTTAACAAAGTAGATTCTACCTCCGTCTCGTCAGGTGGATAGAGCACAAATGAGTTAAGAGATCTGTGGGTCGAACTTGTAACTGTACGTTGACCACGATTTTCAATTATTTTATCTGCTAATTTTTTACCTAGATTAGAAAAATAATGATTCGCTCTCTCAACTGAAACCGTAGGATTTTCCCTAATTAGATTATCAGCGTAATTATTTATATTATTACGTCCTGAGATAGATTTAATGACAGACCAAGTTTCTTTACTGCTTTTGGCACTCTTTAAAAGATGTGTTTCATGTTGGCGCCTGAGCTTTCCTAACAATGAATTACAAAAATTCCTGTACCGTTTGTAAGAAATTTCAAGTATCTCATTATCAGGGTTTTTTTTAAAGATTTTGGTGTAGTTTATCACGGTGGCGGATGCATTTGATCAAGCCAGGCGTCATCCATGCTTTAAGAGTACGTCTAGATCTAGGTAGCTTAATTTTTGTTGTGTTATTTTTTACAGCCGATGATAATATGTTGACGAATTCATGAGCTGCTATGTCTGCATTACAAGTAGGAGATATGAATGAAAAATCTACTGCTTCAACTGATTTTATGGCGTTTTTATAGTTAATTTTATCAATGAAAATATTATCAGGCTTACGTTTGGAATCTAAAGATAGATGGGTAAGAATTAATGCGTGGTCTGTGATAGTACTATCCATGACTATTATTTTGGTGTTCAATATCGTTTTGGTGATTACATGATCTAAGCAATTTTTTATGCGTGTGGGGTAAGTGTGACCAGGCAAGAGACCCAATCCAGCAGCTAGATTTAAATATGGTTCACTATGTTTATCCTCATTGCCTTCTATAATGTTAATATTGATATCGCCAATAAGAAAGATGTTTTTAGCCTTTATTGGTCGAATAACACTTTCTAGGGTATTTAGAAAACTATCAATATAGTAAAACGACGGAGACCTATATACCGCTAAAATTACTATATCTGGGTTTATTTTAATTAATAGATAATTAGCACCCGTTGGTTCAGGTTCTGTAATTATGCAATCAAAACTATGCTTGGTATAAACGGTTATACCGTCGTTTTGATTAAGACATTTTTTCGAAAAATGGCATTTATAACCCGGAAGACGTGGAACGGGCTTATTCAATTCTAGGCGACATTCGGTTAAAATTATTATATCTGGTTCAAAAGATAGTTGCGATATGTATGCCATAAAGCCATCAATGTTTTTGTATACACTACGTATGTTTTGCGCAATAATATTAATGGACTTATTAGATACCTTTACTAAGTTATTGCACTCTAAAGCATCACAAATATAAGATGAAGCAACAGTGATATTATCGATGTCCGATACAATAGTATTCTGTAGTTCTATCGTTTTGAGATAAAGAAAACGTCATTGTCGCAACTATGGGCTTTTAAAATAATAATTTTTAATAGTTAATTAATAGTTAATTTAATAGTTAAGCTGGTTTTTTTATATTATTTTAAGCCAGCGCTTAACTACAATCTCACCTGCCCGGCTAGCATGGGCGGGGGACAATTTTATCCCCGGGGAAAGGAGAAAATGTTTATCCCCTCGCTTAGTTTTATCTACCCTTAGAACATGGGCCCACCGGTGGATATAATATCCACAATAGATAAATTGGGAGATAGATTTTTTTTGTATGAATATAAACTTCGAACCACGTCCAATGAACTAGGATAAAATTGTCCCTTTCAAATGTCAAAAAAGCATAACTTTTTATCTTTCATTTGGTTCCATGCTACGGACGGGGGATATACTTCTCCCCGTTTGACATAACAAGATAATTTTATCTCTTGTCAGTGGATATAATTGGGGGATAAAATTTTTCTTCCCCCGCCCATGCTAGCCGGGCTGATGGTAAGTGTAGCCTAATATGGTGAAGCGTACTGATTTAACAAAAGCCTATTTTCACTCTTGCCTTGAAGACACCTACACTGTAATCGGGTGGAAAGACATCTGGCAACTTATTCCACTCCTTTGCTGTACGCATGATGAACGACGTGGCGAACCGTTTGGTTCGAAAGGGTGGAGACTGGCCGAACGTCTGGTTGTCCGATGGTGGAAGGGAGAGGGAGGAATTAAATTATGCAATTCCTGTGCATACTCTCCGAAATGCAACCTGTAGAAAACCGAAAGGCTGGCATCTGTGCGCCTGTGTTCGAGGCTGATAAGATTGGTTTTAACCAAATTCGGGTCGCCAATAAGTCTCTTAGCACGCCTTCCCATTGAGTCCAAAGCTGCTACGTGGCATTTTGCATCTCCAGCCCATATATGGCAGAAATACTCTATGCACGACCGGACTTACGCTTTATATAAAGTATCTGTCCCGGCGTGAAGTATATACCTTGGCAAGGACTCCTAGCTTCCTTGTAGCTGCTTTAGCCTTGGACTCAATGAACCGCCCGAAGTTCATATTTGAGGATATCTCAACCCCCAACAACTGAAGGCGGTCGATGTATTCCAGTGAAAATTTTCGGAAAGAAGGAGCCAAGGTGAGCTGGCTCCTTTTTACAGTGAAGAGACACGCTAGTGTTTTGTAGGCGTTGAATTTCACAAGATTGGCAGCGCCCTATTCGGAGACTGCTTGTAGTGTGAGATTCACCATACCATATTCTACCATAGCTTCTCTTTCGGACTGGATTTGATCCCGACGGGCGCGAGGACTTGGTTGGTATCTCTCCACAACTGTGCTATCGTCTGCATACCCATAGATACCGGGCATAAGCAGTAATGTCAAGTCACCCAATAGGATTTTCAAAAAGTGTTTTAAATTAATCTCAGAGTGATAATAAACCACTATAATTTTTACATAAATTTTTTAAAACCGAATAGTGTAATAAAAATTAATTTTAATTTTCGCGTAAAAACGGTAGCCGCCATGCTACGTACTTTCTGTTTTTACGAATCCGTCTTCCAAGATGCCTTTTCAATAAAATTAGGAATAAAACTCAACAATCGTAATGATGACTTGAAAATTTTCTAAATTAGCTAGTTAGTTCACAGCACATTAGCTAGTTCTCTTAACCAGTGATGTTACGAAAAAATCTAATATGGCGGACAGCGTTTTGCAGATTTGAAACACAGATAAAAAAAAATCTTAAAATTGAAATATAAAATTCATAATGCATTTCTGTAAATAGAAATCAATATACCTCGTTTACTTTTTGCAAAATCTATCATAAATATATATTTTTATATATATATATATATATATATATATATATATATATATTAATTAATGAGGTGCAATTGTAACTTCAACAATTGCACCTCAACTATCATTTTAATACTAATAGTGTTGAATCTAATGACCTTTATTTTAATCTGGTAGTACGTTACCGTTACAGCCTCTAAAAAATGGTGACCATCTCCTAATTTGTTTCCTTCTGTCGCCTCTTACGACACTCACAGAATAATATGGGGCAGTAGCTATTCTTACACCGCCACTAAACGGCTAGCAGCCTCGAGGGAAGCCAGTCGAACAAGCTGCTTAATAAATGTTGGTTTCCAGTACGTCCGTCAGTGTTGCTGCTTAACAATAACATGAAATATTTGTTTTTGTTTGTGATAAAAATCAATTCGGTTTTACAAGGGGTCGCTCGACAACTGATGCTGATGTTGAACAGATTGAACATATTTTCACCTAGCTGTTCCCCGCGACTTCGCCCGCGTGGAATTTATTATGATTGGATTTTATGGGTTTTTTTTGCGCGGAACCCTAATTCCTTTTCTAAAATAAAAGTAGCCTAAGTTACTCGTTATAACATTAGCAATGAAACATCTTTCAATGAAAGTCCCGTCGAAATCAATCCAGCTGTTAACAAACAGACAAAAATTTAAAAAGTTGTATTTTTGTTATAAGTACCGTATATACTTTCATATGCATTTAGTAAAAAGCTGTTATTTTGACATTATAAACAGACACTTCAATTTTATTTATTTGTATAGATGTACGGGATAATTCACAGGGTGCTTGGGGTATATTTTGTGACCTATTTATAAAGCCTTCGGTTGTGTTCACCATGAAAGATTAATCAGGAAACTACAACATTTTATCACAAATTTAAGTAATAAAACTCAAAAAAATTGTTATTAACGTTAAAAGTTCTTCCAGTTATATTTGATTTGATTGGTTTGCCTCGGCGCTCAATTCTCGGCCCCTTTCTTTTTCTTGTCTATATTAATGACTTAACTTACATAGTAGGAGTTATTTCATAGTTCATTAATATTAAAACTGAAATGAGAACTACTAAAATATGACGAAGTGAATAATGGTAATCTTCATCGGTTTAATTTCATTCATAAAAGCGAATTTAATGTTAATAAACATCTAAATACTAATTTAATTTTAAGTGGTGAAAACTTTAGTCTTGTTGATAACACCGTTTTTCTTGGTATGTATCACTAGACGCGAATCTTCAATGGATCTCCCATACATCTAAACAAGGAAGTAGACTTGGTTCTACTGAGTATGCTGAAAAGAATCTTACCAGAAATCTTACCATTTAGTTAGTTCATTTTGTCCATTTCAATAGCATAATGTCTTACGGTAGTTTGCTATGGGAAACGCGAATGACACAGAAAGTGAAGAGGGCGATAAGAACAATCTACAATTTAAAAGCTAAAAGTCTCTAAAACAAAAAAAATAGCCTCAATACATTTACGAAAATGTAATCATTAGAATAATATAATAATTAAAGTAGTTTAAAAAAATAATTGATATAATTATTTTTTTAAATAACTATCGATTATTTATTCTCTATTTCTAGTATTTATAGAAAAAAAAACATTTTCTATAAATACTAGGAATAGACAAAAACAAGTACCTGAGGCATATATACTTTTACCACAAAAATCCTTGAAAATATACAATATTTGTCCATCGTCAAGTTTAAAAACTTTACTAAACAAAGATTTTATAAAATGGCTTATAATACTATTAAGGAATTTGTTGATGATAGTACCCCCTGAAAATAAGGTAATGATCGTTACCAATCTATTTCTAATTTAATTTGTAAAGTTGATTGTACAACAAAATACCGGATTGATAACTGTTTTTTTTTTTTATTAAAAAACTATTATAAACTACTACTATTTTAACTATATATAACTACTATTTGTCTTGGTGGTTCTTCCCATGACATGTATTTTCCGAACCAGTGGTAATTTAAACATAAAAACGGTTTTCATAGGCGGCGGTAGTCGCTTACCATCAGATGACCCGCATGCTTGTTTGCCTTAAAGAAGTAAAATTTTGTAATTTAAGGTACTAATGCGGCAAAGGGTAGTAATTTAAATTTCTAAATTTGAAAGGAAATTTAAAAGACTTGCTTTGTACAGAACTTACTTTGACTTTGTAAAGAACCAAGATGTCTCACTAAACTTGTTGTACACACATTGCTAAGGTGATAGTAAAAAAATTGTCATTCTGTTAACACTAAAAATTTGATAAATGTTACTAAATGTCATTTTAGGAATTAGTTGTTGAACCAATAATAACTTTGAACTCTCGCATGCAAGCGCTCCAGTAGAAAACAAAAATTGCTCCTTTTCCTATGCAAAATTTTATAATTTTGTCATTTGTCTAGGTTGAATCAAGTCGTATGTACTGCAAATATGCAGCTAGACCGCCGTCGCCACGCCTCATACCGCTTCATGTAGAAAAAGCAGTTCGTCTTGCATCGGTTGGACGTCCTGGTGTCGCCTATCTCGATATGCCTGCAACGCTGCTCACGGTAATTGTCCAAAAATCTTTTAAACTAATGTGCAATATCATTTTATTGTTTTTGTAATCGAATAAAATATACCGAGTACATAACCTAATGAATGTTTTTACATAATTATTGTTTTTTGGTTCCTCAGTTTGGACTCCAGTTGGTAGCACTATTTGTGTAATTATACAAAAGTATAAATATTCTAGTTTTTTGGTTAGGTCTGTCTGTGTTTTAGAGACTACATCCTAGCGTGCCCCCGATCTTACCGCATTAGCGTTACATTGTGAATTTTACTGTTCAATCTTAGTCCTCAAGTGTGACAACACATCTAAATTTTGATTTACTATCAGATGAACTGTGTGCTCATTTGTCAATCTGACGCATAAAAAAGCACCATCCATCAGTTGTGACGAACTAATTTACCAGCCTTTTTTCCAGTTTACTATGCACTCAGCAGTAAGCAACCATAAAGTGTCATTATCATTGTAGCCTTTCAAAGTCTACTGCTGAACATAGGCCTGCCCCATAAATTGCTTCAAAGGATATTTTCCATAATTGCCTTTTTACAGTCCACATGCGCAAAACAAAGTAGCAGATTGCACTCTTTAGTCTTCTGTACATTTTGCCTGTGATTTCTGTGTGGGTAGTCTGTTTGCGAGACAATTCGTAATGATTCTCGAAAGCAACACGTAGATGCGGTTCAAAAGGAATATCTGTGTGTAGTTCTTTAGTAGAGCTTTTTTGCCTTTCTTAAAGAATAAGACCTTCTGACTTCTGATCCACGCCTCCAGAGTAGATGTCGGATTTATATATATAACACAAGCTAGTGATAACAGTTTCTCGACTCCACAGAGTCAGTAATTCATTCTTGGGGCAATGTATACGCTATTACAACAAGGTCCCGGAAAGTGTACAGGCCTCTCGTTAGAGAGTAGTATGTTCCTTGGTACAGGCTCTCTCTATTACCAAGTTTAAATGTTTTATTAAGTTGAAACTGTATAAAAAAGGTTATTATAGTATAAATTAATACATGGTTGATAATAACCCCTGAGAATGAGGTGGTCGCTTCCAAGCTGTTATATAGTTTGTACAACCATTAATATAAAATTTACTTTTAAAAAAAAGTCCCGCTGGGTTTCTTGCTGGTTCTTCCCAGGACAGAGGTTTTTTTCTTCGAACCAGTGGTAAAGTAAAAAATGCCTTTCAATAAGAATTACACATGTAATCTATATTGAATAAATAATTATTCTATTCTATTCTATAAGCTCCTGAAAGACTTTTCTACTTCAAATTCACTTTCCTATAATTTTCTCGCCCAGGGCCTTTACATTATTAAGGTTCTAGAGAGCCTTCCTAATCAGGTTCAAACTGACGCCTGGGACTCCGGGATATTATCGCAATAGATTCAGATAAGACTTGTTCTTGGATCTTTAGTCACAAAATCGTATAGTATTTTTTTTTGTTTTCTAGGCAGAAGCAGAGGAAGATAAGGTGCCTCTGGACTACTATAATGCTGGTCCTATTAAGCTAGCATATCCTGACCCAACTTTAGTGGATCAAGCAGTAGATTTGCTTTCCAAAGCCGAACGCCCTTTGATTATTGTAGGCAAGGGCGCAGCATATGGCAGAGCGGAAGAGGCCGTCAGAAAGCTAGTAGAGAACACAAAAATACCATTCCTGCCTACTCCAATGGGTGAGTTTAAACAATAAAATATCTTTAGAGCTGTACTGAAAGTAATTCAGGCAGAGAGAGTTCATCAGACACTGGCAATTAAACATAATAACATAACCTACATTGGTGCAGTTTTTGTCCAAAAGTGTAGTATTAGATATATTTCTGGTGGATTTCTGACTACAGCAACAACTACCTAATACTGTCTGAAACTATCAATCAAAATAATAAATATAATATATTGTCACAAGCTCACAAGTGAAAACGTTTACACGTTTTGGCTTTTTTCTCTCGGTGGGAAATTCCTCACACATAACCTTCACAGTGCTTCATCATCATCATCATTACAGCCCTTCACAAGTCCACTGCTGAACAAAGGCCTCCCCCAAGAATATCACAAAGCACGGTCCTGAGCCACCTGCATCCATCGACTTCCTGCATGTCTTACCAGGTCGTCGCTAGGGGGTCGCCCTACACTTCGCCTACCGGTACGGGGCTGCCACTCGAGAACGTTATATTGCCACTTCAGCTTACTAATCCGTTCGGCTATGTCGGTCACTCCGGTTCTACTGCGGATATCCTTATTTCTATTTTTATCACGCAAAGAAACCCCGGGCTTAAGGTATAATATTCCGCGGTGTTCCACATGTGTCGCATAGCAGCAAATTCCAAGCGACCCGTGCTCGGAAGAGAACAACTCCAGTTCTCTTCCTCCTAACCAAGCGCCTCTATCTAACGGGAGAACAGGAAAACGAGCATTTATACCGAGAAATACCGAATACTTTCGTTCCCATACCCATTAGCGCACCTTCTCTATGACTACCACGCCGAGAACGATCTGGTAGCAGAGAATAAACTCCAACACTGCTCACACCTTCGTTGGTCTGTTTATACAGTCGTCAATTACTCAATAAACTGTATAGTTCTATATTTCTTTGCAACGTATGTCTAATTAAGGAGGATATGTTTGGATTAATTATAAAAAAATTATACGTACCTCATTTAATGGAAAATTTAACGAACTGGTTGAACTTACATGGAACAAGTATGAAACTATAACTTTTTCGTAAAATACGCACCTTACCTCGTAAATATTTTGTTACACACTAACAAAATACAGAGGAATTGAAAACCTTTTACTGTGAAATCAGTTAAAAATCAATTATTTTCATACACTTTCCTTTCCAGATCTTTCATTTATCTACTCTTGTAAAAGGGCGCACTGCTTCATGCAGTCTTTTCCTTTGTCTTTTACCTGTCTGTTTGCTTTTAGGTTCTTTGAAGCAATATAAACTTTTCTGCCTAGGTATTAGGTTTACACTACACCACACCACTCTCTTAAATATGACACGTGTACAAAATCTAATAAATTATATAGTAATTTATTCAAATATCCATGAAAATATCGTAGTAGTTTTACTCGCTTATTTTATTTGGGCTGACAATTCTCGTATGTAACAATCGGCACGAATAACAACATAAAACGTTCTTTCGTGCGAAAATTTGAGAGTAAGGGTGCAAGTATACTATTGTAGTATTTGGGATGCAACAAAGATAAAAACAATAGACTATTCAATTATTTTTTTAATTTTATGACAGGCAAAGGAGTTGTACCTGACGAATCAAAACAGTGTGTTGCGTCGGCGCGTACACAAGCTCTACTTAAAGCAGATGTGATCCTTCTATTGGGTGCCCGTCTTAATTGGATGTTGCATTTCGGACGACCACCTCGATACTCACCTGATGTTAAAGTTATACAGGTAAGTTGATTACAATACAGCATCCAAAATTTACTTATTTTTAACCGACTTCAAAAAGGAGCATATTCTCAATTCGATTGTATGTTTTTGTTGTATGTATGTTGTGTGATATCTTCGCAGATTGTGAACCAATATAGATGATTCTTTTTTATTAAATAGGTTATACTGCAAGGGTGGTCCCATATAAATTTGGAGAAAAAAATCCACCCCTAAGGGTAGCAAATAAATAACTTTTTTTGTAACAATTTGAAGTGGATTTTCTCTTTTTGTTATAAGTTATAATTATTGAATGTTGTATAAACATTTTATACTAAATTGCCTCCAATATACAGTAGAACGCCGATTATCCGAACGCCGATTAACCAAATCGCCAATTATCTGAATCGGTCCTAAGCGTAATATAAAAAATTAAAACCCAAGTACTGTAATTAAGTAATGTAATTTTTGATTCGTTTTGTTGTACTAGTTGGAACTCGCTGAAGTCCAGATATATTTCAACTGTTATGGTTGAAAGCTAGAAGCAAGACACTATATGTTTTGCATCTTCCAGTCTACTAGTGTCTAGTCTAGTCTAGTGCACAACTTACGTATTGTAGAACTGTGTTTGTTAAACTTAATAAAGTTTATTCTATGTGTGACAGTTTTTTTTCTTTATTACATACCAGTCTATGTCCGATTATCCGAATTTTCGATTATCCGAATCGACCCCGGTCCCAATTAATTCGGATAATCGGCGTTCTACTGTAAATATTTTGTCATGATGAACGCATGACGTGACTACTACGACTACGCTGCGGATCGTGGATTCGAATCATGCCAAGCCCAACATTAGTAAAAAGAAATTGTTGGGTCTGGTTGTTTTGTACTAGTCCCCTTGTCACTGACATTTCACCTTGACGTTATCGCTGATTTTATATCTATAGTATCTTGGATAGTTAATAGATTTTGAATTATCGGTTTTCTTTTGTGTTGTGATCCACGGCCAACGTCTTTGTCGTTACAAAAATTAACCAATAATTTCTTCATATAATAATTTAAACCTCGTGTAGTGGCGGGTAAGAATATCCACTGCCCCATATCTTCCCGTGGGTGTCGTAAGAGGCGACAGAAAGAAACTGAGACAGAAGATGGGCAGCAGCATGTTTCTGATAACAGCAAAAAGCAATAAAAAACTGTGGTTGCCAACCCGCTCGCCAAGCTTGGCAACTATGACAATATACCTCCCATGAGCAACGACAGAATTAAATGGCCCCCAGTCCCCGGTGGCACTGCTATTCCTAGCTACGGTAGCGACCATGGTAACGGCGGGGCAGGGGGTGCTAAGAATCTCCGGTGGAGGATCGGTTGCCACCTAAGACGACTCGACCTTATGTAACCAGGTTAATCTCATGGGGGGTATATTGCCATAGTTGCCACGCAAGAGTTTTTATTATATTTGTTGAATCACATTTATTTGTGTCGTATTAGTAGCTCTGGGTCTAAGCGTTCGCTGTAAATTTTTCCCGGGTTTGATCTCCGGCTGCACCAATGAAATTTGTAATTGCAATTTTCGTCAGCACGCATTGGGGCAACGCGGCGGACTTTTCTTTGCCCTAAAACCCTCTCAGCCGGGCTATTCACAATCGTCTCGGAAAGCGAATTCGACTCGGATTCGATAACTTCTCGCACCGAAACCAATAAACGCTATTAACATTTAACGTTCGGATAAAGGTCACTTGGATACATCCCATAACTATTGTATCGTCATTTAGTTACATGCATTTACGAATTTTGTAGATAAATAGGCTTTAGTGTTTTTTTTAGAGTAACGCCTAAACAAAAACATAATGCAATATTTTGGTGTTAGCCATTGATATCGAATATAAAAAATATATAATTTAACTATATAATAAATAACAAAAAAACTGAGATATGTCTCGTTTCACAAAGCAGCATATATATATATGTATGCTGCTTTGTGATAGAAAACTTATAAAAACACACCTTTCACAAAAATTCAGCTTTACGATTAAGTGCAAATATTGAAGTAATTATATGAAAATAAGTCTTATAGATAAATGTAATTAATTTTTGTTACCTACCTTATAATTAAAAGGGTTTATTTATCTCTTCTAATCATCAATATTCGGAAAGTTTTCGCCAGCCTCGGAGCTCTCGTAAAGTTTCCGATGCAAACTGTCACAATTATCGAAAACAAACGTCAAAGAAGTACGGTCACGCCCCATTGAAAAAAACCCAGACCCGACAGAAACGAGACATATCTCAGTTTTTTTGTTATTTATTATATAGTTAAATTATATTTTTTATATTCGATATCAATGGCTAACTTCAAAATATTGCATTATGTTTTTGTTCAGGCGTTACTACCTAAAAAAATACAAAAGCCTATTTATCTACAAAATTCGTAAATACATGTAACTAAATGACGATACAATAGTTATAGGATGTATCTAAGTGACCTTTATCCGAATGTTTAATGTTAATAGCGTTTATTGGTTTCGGTGCGAGAAGTTATCGAATCCGAGTCGATTTCGCTTTCCGAGACGATTGTGAATAGCCCTGCAGAAATAAAAAGAGTCCTGTGCCCAGTAGAGGGAGTTGTATATAACTTAAAACATCTTTGTACCTAGATAACATTTTCGAGAAATTGTCAGTCATGTCATATGCCACATTTTCTATAGAGAGTAGGACGTTGCAGATAGAGCAAAATAAAAAATAATACAAAATATTATGGGAATTATTTATTAATAATATATACATTTATAGGTATTTATAATAAAAATAATGAACAAGCTGCAAGGTTCAACTAATAATGTTTCTTGTAAACACAATTGTAAAATTCCTGTTTTCATTTTTACCAATGGTTAATTGATGAAACATAGTCTGATCAGATCACTTCAAATAAAATATATTTAATTAAAATTGACACACGACCTATTTGGCCCTCTACTTACAACTCGGCGGAAAATTGAAAAGAAGATTTTGTCTGTTCTTAATTATTTTGTGTACTCCAATTTTCACACAAGTATTGTTTACAACTGGCGTGGTTTCGAAAAGCGTGATTAAGTGTCAGCGGTATATTGTCAATTAGATACTCAAGTTTTTTTTAAATTTGTTTTTTGTTATATCTTCTTAAAAACGGACGCCATCTCATTATTTTATTATTTTTCTTTTTTTGTAACACATAGGGTATCTTGGATAAGTTTGTAATTTTTTTTAATGAAATGTCTATCTGTAATATCAAAATAACTGCCTTCTATTGAGTTGACGGGGTTGTTTACATACCTACCATTAAGACATGAATAACCATTTTTAATGAAATAAAACTAAATTTACAGATTTTATCGTTTTTGATTTGACTCATTTTACTTACTTTAATTCCCGACGTTGTCGCAAATCGGGTTAACTTTGACATCAAAACATTAAACACCTCGGTACTGGACCCTCCCCCCCTTCTCTCCATGTCCATGACTAAAAAAAACACACAAACGCCAGAAATTAATATAAGTGAAACGAGTCTGATTAAACGCGATAAAATCAGTAGAATTTGCTTTATTCAAAGTGTAGTATTCAATGTATAGTTATTTTATAATAATTTCAAGCATATGTTTTAATTTTACTTCCTCAGGTGGACATATCTCCCGAAGAGTTGCACAACTCAATCAAGTCGGAGGTGGCCATATATTCCGATATTAAACCTTTCGTAGAAGCACTGACGCGGAAGTTGGCAGAGAAAAAGTTTACCCTACAGCCAGCAAAGAACAGCTGGTGGCAAACATTACAAGAAAAACAGAAGAAAAATGCAGAGTTTGTCGAGGTAATTTATAGTTGAGAAACATAGTTGTATAAGAGCTAGGCGATATGTCTTAATTTTATCTAAGAAAGGAACACTAGAGATGTATTATGTTATGATGAAAGAAAATATCGCGAGAGCCTGCGTGTTTGTAAAATTAAAAATACTATTGGTAGTCCAGTAGTAGAAATTCGACGTTTTTATATCAAGCAAGCTATGTTTCACGTAACTCGACATTAATAACCGATTTCGGTGATTCTTTTTTATTTGAAAGCTGGTGCTTCTCATGTGGTCCCATATTAATTAAATCTAGGTCTGACCAATATTTTTTGAGTTATCCTTAATAATTTATATTGAAGTCGGTTGTACAAAATTTTTAAATTTAAATTATGTTGACTACATTTTAAAATTCTTTGACGTCAATCTCTATTCTGTGCCATTGTTTTATCATAGACTATTATGCTTCAGTGTTTCGTTCTCGAGATTAGATAACACAGGTAGTCACACATACAATGTCGCCATCTATGCACTTAGTTTAAAGTAAAAATAAAACAAGACGGTAGATTAATATTACTTCATGGTTGCACTGCGCTCGATTTATCATTCACATTTCAGTGCTCCGCCACTTCGCACGTCTTGCAACTGTGTTAATTTTTGTATAAATTATAGTGCTTAAGTTTTTTATTTTAAATTATAGCCTTTAAATTACTTTAAAGTTAATAAAATACCGAAAAGGAAAAACGACGACTTGGATTCTTTAAATCATATTACGAATAAAAACTTGAAGACAACTGTTAAAAAGCCAACGCTGCAGATCGTTATCGCCCCCGGATTCAGTACATAAGTCAACTGATACTCAAGGTAATTACAATAACGGATATACTTTTTAACGGTTTGAGTTATTACCATCCGATTTTAACAAGGATTAACTTTACAATGCTCGAATTGTAACTTATCCCTATAAAACTCGGGTTCACGATGCAACGCCCATGAGTTCATCTTACCCGCTGTTTTTGTGCGTTTACATACAAATGCATAAATATTTTTTATATTACCTGTTTAGGTACATTACATATAATTACCGATATGTGTTTATTTAAGGTAAATTAAGCTCTAGAAATATTATTTTTGTCCTTACAAACCCAAACAAAGAGAAGTATCTGTATATAAATTTTCTATGCGAAAAATATACATATTACATTAGTTCGGGCAATAATGACTTAATCAACGAATCGGAAAATGTTGAAATGCTAACTGCGGACCTGCGCGAGCTAGGACCGACAACTAGCACATCACAACGGAATTCGCTATTGGCGTTCAATGCACCTGAAGTGATATTCGAACCTCCACAATCAGCGACCGAACAACCACCTCCTACTGAGAAGGAGTCAGCAGTCTAATGATGGTGCTAGAAATTTTAAAAACAGGACCTTCAACAACCGCTATTTTTGGAAAGAACATGCGGAAGAACTTGGACATTCGCCTCGAATTTATAACAACTTCTGCATCGAAATAGACCAGGTAACTCTATAAAGAGCTCTTAGAATCGCATCTACCTCCAGCTAACTGTAAAATGATAGACGTTCCGTCCTTGTATCCAGAGATAAAGGTTGTGCTGTTTAAGAAGATATAGTGAAGCCAGAAAGCTACACAAGCTAAACAAAAACAAATATGAAGCACTATAGCATGTCTTAGTTAAACATTTACAGTTCTATTGTCTAAAGATACATAAGATCCAACAATATTAAAATTGCTAATATATTATACAGCACGCATCTTGTGTGCACAACATAAGGATTCGGTCACTAGACGTAGTCTTATTCTGACTACACTGAAGAGAGACTGATGCAGCAGACAAAGATAACTTGCTCTTTGGACAAGTGCTTTCAGACATATAACAACTGCTAAAACAATAAATTAATGAGGAGCTGAAGCTGTCACCACTCAAAAAGTCCATGCAAACAAACCAAAAACCTTGCCTTCCAACAAGAATTTAAGCTTAAAAGCCAAAGCCCCGATCTGCAGGTCGACAGGGGCCTACACCTTTGACAAGCCAACAGCAATTACAATCATCGTGAGCGTCACGTCCGGGCAACAGCCGCGGCCGCCGCTAGATGATGAGGTAAATTTTGCCAGCAGGCTATCTCTTTGTTATCACATGCTAACACTGACATCAGATAACATAATAACATAAATAACATCCGATCAAACTATATCGTGAATAAAATACCCTTCTCACAAACACCTTATCAGTATGATATTCCAAAACTTAACTGTTCTCCATCAGAAACAAAAGATTTCGATTGGGCAATAGATAGTTCACTCTCTATAGGCGCTGTTTCAAAATGTTGAACCCTGTGATGGTCAGTTCATAACTAAAATATTCTTAGTACCGAAACCATGATAACTGAACGGTAGGACTCGTTTTAGTCTTAATTTAAAAATGTGAACAAATTTTTGTAAACACAAAGCATTTTAAATTGGAAGATCTTAGAACAATGGCAAAACTTGTTTCAAAAAGTTGTTTATGTCAACAATTAACCACAAATACGCATTTTTTCTAATCAAATTGTATTAATTTAAATAATAAAATTCATGACAATTCATGAAAATATTTAAGGTTTATATTGAGGAATATTTTATATGAATTTAATATTCTCCAGTTCGGCATAAATACTGTACCCTACGTATTTACAAAAATAATGAAACTGTTTGTTAAACTCTTACGACGTATTGGTGGCATTGGTAACCTGTCAGTAAGCTACCCAGACTACTTATTGTATATTATATATAACAATCTATGACTTATGTCTTATATCACGCACCTATAACAAATGTGTAAAAAATATTGACGCTATGAAGAAACTTTTTTGTGGCTTAGGTTTCATTATTCATAAAATTAAAAGCTGTATGATTCCTAGTAATATAATTTTGTATTGGAATTTATGATAAATCCCAAATTTTTATGATAAATTCCAATATAATGGAAATCAGTTTAGGTTTTATAGAATGTGTAAAATTTAAAGCCAAATTATAAAAATACTTATAAAAAAAATCATAAAAGATTTAGAATCAGGAACTTTGTACGCTTAGTAAGCCTGTTAACGTTCAGCTTGTTCAGCTATTGTATATGCCTGACTTCACACTATGGAGTTCGAAAGGTGCAAATTCCTTTACCTTATAGGAAGTGAAAATCATGGATGACTGGTATAGTCATAAAATTGTCATAATTTTTCGTTAATACCTACATTATATCTAGATTTTAATTGGTCGATAAAATCCATCGATCAAGTTGTAAATAAATAAAATTTTTATTAATTCAGTCTGAAAATTAATTCTGACGCCTCAACAACGGGATGGGGCGTGGCCTGTATGGGAAAGACTGCAAGCGATATTTCAAGTAACGCTGAACGAAGGCATAACATTAATTATCTAGATTAGATTTAGAGTTAATAGCTGCTTTCATTGAACTTAAATTATATGCCAAAACATTATCCAATAGTCAAATAAAAAAAAAAAGTATAGATAATACAACTGCAATTTCGTACATAAATCGCATGTACGAAAAATGAATGAAAAATGCAATACAGGACATTTACCTAAGGTTGCTAAAAACTATGGCAATGATACGAAGCAAGCATATAATCTTTTTTGTTTCTACTTTATATATCCCATCTGTCGAGAACACTATTACTGACTCCAAATCTAATCACCCTGACATTGAATAGGATTGTCAGATTTTGCTTTGTGTACCAGATATTTACATATTTGCTAGCAGCAAAAAAAAATATATATATATACAAAATATTATGTATCATTGCATAAAGACACTGATGGCTATACTAACGACGCTTTCTTTCCTTTTTTTCTCAATTGTTCTTAAAACATTAAGAAAAATTACTATTAGCGTTAAAGCTAGAGGTATATTGATAGTACCGACATGGCTATCACAGCCTAGGTATTCCCTGTTTAATCGGCTCCTGGAGTCGACTTTGTTCATTGATTTTTAATTCTGTTAAGGAACTAATTGTTTCTTATTCCAGCAACTACCCGATAATGGGCGTATTACCCTGGGTGCCGGAATTCAATGCGGGCTTTTTTATTAAAAAGAAACATTCCCTGCACATCTATTCCGATCATATTGGTTTCCCTTTCGCCCATCTCTATGAAATATTATGATACATGTCTGAAAAAATGGTATAATTTTTGCAAGAATAACAACATGTATCAGGCATCAATACCAATTATTGGTTATTTCTTAATGAGTCTATCAATCTAGAGCCCAAACTAGCGAGGATGACCATAAACAAAAAAAAAATTAAGGTTTATTTATGTAGGCTTTACCCAAATATGATTCAACTTTGGGACACCTCATTATTAATAGAAACTCTCGCTAGCTGGGTGCCGAATTAGAATCTATCTTTTGAGAAAATATCTATATTAAAAAAAAAAACTAGTTGCCTTCTTGCACTAATAACGGCGCACAGGACCCAAACCCTATTAAAAATAAATATTCAAAATATAAGAATTTCACTTGATGAAATTTCTACTAATGTTCCCGATTTGACAAAAACATCTCGTGTTAATTCTAATCAGCCAACCCTTGTTCATCCATACTTTAGACACACTACACTAGTACAAAGGAGCCCCATAATACGGTTTCTGTTTAAACGCTAAGTAGATGGATAAAGAGTTGGAGGTTAGCGGGGTTGATGTTACTACATTCTGTGCGCATAGCACTAGGCACACCAGCACGGCTGGAGCCCATAGACTAGCTGTCAACTTAAATATAATAAGGAAAACTGCCGGCTGGACGGGTGCCTCCACAACTCTTGCGAAGTTCTTTAATAGTTCTATAATGGATAATATCAACTGATACCTACTGAACACTGAGACATAGTTTCGCTAAGAGTTTACTAATTAATGTTAATTAAATATGTATCGTTAATCACGATAATCGTATGTCATAGCAGTGTATTTTTTGTGTACATTTTATAGTGATTATAATTAAAATTATTTTATTCATGAAATATTGAATTATTTCCCACTGTAAATAATCTCTGTTGGGATATTTCACAATTAACTCTCAACATCTACCTGTGTTATCTAATCTCGAGAACGAAACACTGAAGCATAATTAATGATTAAACGAACTTACCTGTAAGTGAAGTTCTATCATAATTATGTGAGGTGTTTCGTTCGAAGAGATTAGCATCCCTCCCGCCCTGTTTATTTTTAACCCCCATATTGTGAAATATCATGTCGTTTCTCTACTCTGAACTAAATGATAAATCGAGCGCAGTGCAACCATGAAGTAATATTAATCTACCGTCTTGTTTTATTTTTACTTTAAACTAAGTGCATAGATGGCGACATTGTATGTGTGACTACCTGTGTTATCTAATCTCTTCGAACGAAACACCTCACATAATTATGATAGAACTTCACTTACAGGTAAGTTCGTTTAATCATTAATTATGTGTTCGTTAATTGACATTGGCAGTTTTTTTGTAAGGATAGGGTAACAAACGAGCACACAGTCCACCTGATGGTAAGTGGTTGCTGTGGCCCATAGACATCTACATCTATCCTCGTTTGCGAATCAAAATGCAGATGCATTGTCACCCGTGAGGACTAAGATGGAATGCCTCTTTTCCAGTAAAAAGGGTCTCCGGTTCTCTACACTCACCATACGAAACACAGCAACGATAAGCTGCTATTTTACGCTGGTATTCTGTGAGAGCATGGTCCTCCCCGGTCGAGCCGACCCATTCATGCTACAACTATACTACTAATATAGCTGCATCATGGCTCTACCAAAGTATGAATGTAGGCAATGAATGTTTCTTTTTCTTTTATTTGATGTATTTGTAACGCATATTATAATATATAAATTATAGCTTTCTTGCTTACTAAATCTCACACTCATCCGTGCGCACAATATGCTTAAAGACGGGTACAAAATTTCCCCCTTTACGTAATATACGTGGATTTTCAGGATATACGCTTCCCACTCTATAACTCTCTCAGAGATTAATTGAAGTTACATGGATTTTTCGATATGTATGGATATCGAAACACGAGCATTGAAAATCAAATAATGCTGGATTGAAACCAGAATTGAAACAAGAGAGCTTTTAATATCTATATTAACCTTTAATATCTCATCAGTCTGTAAACTTTCTATTATAGCTCAAACGTTGTAGAAGGATGTTCTAAAATCGCCAAGCGTTAGTACTGCTTTTTGTGGTTTACCTGAGTGTTTTAATTTTGACATTATTTTTTATCTTCATTGACACGTAAAATTTCACTGCTAAATCACTTCTGGGCACATAGGCATCTCCGTAGTAAGATGACCGAGTCGTCGGACGTCTTGTACCTTACACGTTATTGCTGTTGGTCTTGGTATTTTATACCTGGTTAGTTGTTTTATACTGTGTAAAGCAACATAAAAAATCGGTCACCTCATTTTGTATCTGTATTGCCCGACTAAGGGAAATTATAACACGTTTTCACTTGTAAAATTATTTTGTGCGTGCAGTTGGGGTCATAAATCATAGTTCGGCCTCAGCCTGGCTAGCGCGGTGAGCATGTTGCGCTGGTGCAGCGCCATTATCGATAACAACAAATTTAATTTTAGTTAAAAGTTATTATCTTTATTTTTAATATAACTTGTTACATTCCAAACCTTTGTACTTATAGTTTTTTAATACATAGATACCTAATTAATAATTTATTTTAAATCATTATTATTCTTATTTTAATAAATACGTTTTTTATCTTTTTTTTTTCATTTTTATCACTAACTCACATAATGACAAAACTAAATACACTATCGATAACGCTTATCGACAACAATAATGCTCATCACTATGCTCGCCCCTAAGGCCCGTGAGTGGGAGAGAGAGCGAAATAATCCGATGATTTATGACCTGAACTGCACGCACAAAATTATTCTAGTATAGGTCAGTGGCTTAGCTAAAGTAAGGTTTAACAGGGCAATGCCCCGAATGCCCTAAGCTCAAAGAGCCCCTCGGCCTCCATAAGCGACGTTTGAAATATTTATATTAACCTAGTTGAATAAAAAATATTCGACTTTTAACTTTTTGGCCGCTGTCCAACAAACCTCGAATTGCTCGAATTAAAATTACAAAAATTTCTCCCACCTTCAGAGCGTAAAATTGTTAAAATAAAATTATCTACATCGTTTTTTTGTCATTGTTTATTTTTTACTAGCTTCCGCCCGCGACTTCTTTCGCACGGTATGGACCAACATTGAAAATTATCCCACGGGATCCTTTTATCGGGATGAAATGTGGTATGTCCATTCCAGGTAGATTTTACGTGAAAGTGTAACAAACAGATAAACTTTTCATTTATAATATAGGAATTAGGATATTTTTAGGAAGTATGATTAACTCTAAAATAAAACTAAGCTTTGTTTAGTTATGCCCTGCAGTGATTGATAAGAAGCAGATGAGGAAGTAGTGCACCTTTAAAGTATAGGCCCCCAATTTAATTTTGCCCCAGGGCCCTAGGTTTACATAGGTACGCCACTGCACTAGGTGGCTTCTTCCTCGTTGATCTACGTAATAAGCGCGACTGCTGATTATGTAATCCCGGGTGTGGTCAAAAAAGCAAGCCAATCCGTTGGTCCTGATTCTCTCCATTTGTATCGGATTGCGGTCTCATCGGCCTTATGATTGGACGGAATAAAGAGTGCACCTGTGCTTGCGCAGACACTCGTGCACTATATTCATGTCGACCCACAAAATGTTCAAAGTTAATCAATCAATCAACAAGTTTCATAAATTTATTAAAGAAAACTGTATAAAAAGTGTTATTATAATATTAAAAAATACCTCAATGAAAATAACCCCTGAGAATTTTACTGTATTTTTTTTATACGATAAGGGTGCAAACGAGCACACAGTCCACCTGATGGGAAGTGGTTGCTGTGGCCCATAGACATCTACATCTATCTTCGATTACGAATCAAAATGCAGATGCGTTGTCACCCGTGAGGACTAAGTTGGAATGTCTCTTTTCCAGTAAAAAGGGTCTCTGGTTCTCTACACTCACCATACGAAACACAGCAGTGTTAAGCTGCTATTTTACGTTGGTATTCTGTGAGAGCGTGGTCCTTCCCCGGTCGTGCCGACCCATTCGTGCTACAACTATACTACTAATATAGCTGCAGCATGGCTCTACCACCACGTATAATTAATATATTATCTTAAACCTACCCAAGCGGAGCCGGGGCGGGTCGCTAGTATATAATATGATCGGAGGAAGACGAAAATGCAATATCATGTAGCTACAGTGTACAATTTGTGTTGTTACATCAACATTAGTTCCGGAAGGAATCCAATACTTGCTACGCGGTTGCAGTGAACTGCGACCGTTAGGCTACTACATTGTTTATATATTTAAACGTTTTCAGGCCCAGGCAAATGATAAGACGGTACCTCTCAATTACTACGCAGTTTTTAAAGCGGTGCAAGCGAACATTCCAAAGGATTCTATAATTGTAAGCGAGGGAGCCAACACTATGGACATTGGCCGCGGCATACTGCTTAACAATCAACCCAGACATCGTCTTGATGCGGGTACTTTTGGTACAATGGGTGTAAGTATGAGTTATTAATATTCAGGCTAATTGACGACAGCTACATGTAAATCAAAGTGCCCCAGTTAACAGATTTTTATAAAGAATAATGGTGATAAACAAGCACACAATCCACCTAATGGTAAGTGGATACTGTGGCCCATAAACATGTAAATTTATCCTCGATTAAAAACCAAAATGTAGTTGCGTTGTCACCCCTGAGGACTAAGATGGAATGCCTCACTTCCAGTAAACACGGTCTCCGGTTCCCTACATTCGCCATACGAAACACAGCAGGTGCTATTTTACGCTAGTATTCTGTAAGAGTCGAGCCGACCCATTAGTGCTACAATTAATATAACTGCGGCGTGCTTCTACCACGTATATATACTATATAATAATACTACCACCACCACACTGCTAATTATGTTAACACAAACTCCTTATTGCTTCTAACTACTACACATTATTTTACTTTGCGTTATACTTTCAAAGTTTATCTAAAAAGGTTGCGTCTAAAGAAAAAAAAATCTAACAATGTCTTAAATTTAAGGCGAGGATTTCTGACGTTAAAAGGCTTTTAGCCCTCCCTTCTCCGCTGCATGTATATAGATGTCCAGCACGAAGTATTGACATTGATAAGCGACATTCAGTGGACAAAAACTTAATTTATATTAAACATTTTTTTTAAATCAGGAATTAATAAAATAAAAATGTAATCGATTAAGAATCTAATTCACTATCATGTCTTTCATATTATCGAAAAATATGATATGGTTATCGCTTATAAAAACGAGAATTCAAACGACAAACTTCTTTCCCGGTGATTAAATTATAATTTTTATCTCTATGCATATAAAGTACTTTAAAAATCCATACGATTAAGAATTTAATTGAGTATTTCATGTAAGTGCATTTTTTTAGAATACGATTACAAGAAGTATTAATTGTCGAGCGTTAAAATCGTGCCTATAATACGATATTTTCTCTTATACTTTATTTTATTTCGTTTAATTTTATCCAACCCAGCCTTAATACCGTTTTGAATCATACATGAATACTGATAGAGTGTGGTTTATAAGAACTATAATAAAAATATAATACAAATAAAAACAATCAGAAGCTGTTTAAACATAAAAAAGGCATTATACAAAAAAAATTAGAGGACATCATTTACTCTTCTATTACATGTTATCTCTATATATAAAAATCAATTGCTATCCGTTAGTCTTGCTGTAACTCAAAAACGAATCGAACGATTTTGATGTTTTATGTGGATTTGAGTGGAACCCTGAACCCTGCATGGTTTATCTTCACAATTAGACCCGGTAGGTGGCGCTATTGTCGAAATCTGAAGCCGAAGCGCATCGCTAGTAAACAATAAAAATGTATTTTCTCTTTTATTTATTACAAAAGTCCACTGCTGAACATCCCCACATATTATTGCCTCATAAATAAATTACCATTAGTTGCAAAACTCGAGGGACAGCTTGGCAACCGCAGTTTTTTTATTATTATTGCTTTCCTATCAGTTTCAGTTATTCTCTATCGCCTCTTGTGACACCTACAGGATGATATGAAGTATCGGGCTCTCGTACTCTGCTACTACACAGCAGCACATACATTTTATATTTAATATAAATATACAAACTCAGAAGCACTTACTAGGTCCGACTAAAGAAATTGTTGAGATTTATTTGATGACACGGCGGCTTATCACACCACATTCAAAACCATAATTCAAAAATACAATCCGAAAAACGCTTTTTGTTAATGGCGGGCATGGGCGTAACCATCATTTTATTTCCCAAGGGCCCTATTAGGAAAACTATTAAACATATAAAATCAACTGCTAAACAGTTAAACTGTTATTATCTAGGTGGGTCCTGGATTCGCGATAGCTGCTGCAATGTGGTGTCGCGACTACGCTCCAAACAAGCGAGTTATTTGTGTGGAAGGAGATTCTGCTTTTGGATTTTCAGGTTTGTTAATTTTGTCACACAGATATCATACCACCACAAAAATTAATGTGTCTCTCTTTAACAATTATCAATGCACTCATAAGTGTTTTCAGATTTATTGCAGTATTTTAATACTTTTATATGTTAGGAATTAGTTTTACTCTGTGAGTTTCTCTTCTTCTTGGTCTTGCACCTTCGCCGTTGCCAGTCTGGGTGTTGTACATCTAGCATATAGAAGATGATTTTTAGCCATCTGTCGGAAACAACGAAGTTTTTTTGCTCAAGGGACGAAATGGGTGATGGATTTAGTACATTGAGTTTATTTAAGCAGAAAAATCTAGATTCCAAAAACCTATTTTATAGTGCCAACACATTTGTGAGAAAAAGAAATGTAATAATGATATAAATTTACGCGAATAATACGCTGTATTATAATTTATACTTTGACTTACCTTTCTCTTGTAGGGGATAATCATGATATATATTTGTACATATAGGTATTTGCTTATGATACTTCTTGATTTTTAAACTTAAACGGCAATCATTTAAATGTGACAAAGTGAATAAATAATGCTATAACAAAATTATTGCATTGGTTTAATCATTAGGAATGAAATGGTCCAAGGTGTATCTAAAGTACATTTTGTAAATAATTTTTACAACCTTTCTTTAAGTGTAATTAATTTACTTTGAAAAAAATCTCGCTGGGTTTCCTGTTGGTTCTTTTCCGAACCAGTGGTATAAGTAAAAAATTACATTCAATAATAATTAATAATAATGCCCGAGACCTAATTTCGGTCACGGCGGCCAGCCTCATCAGGGACTACACATCGGTGCAAGACAGGATTATTTTTTTTATAGGATAGGGTGACGAACGAGCACACAGTCCACCTGATGGTAAGTGCTTGCTGTGGCTCATAGATATCTACATCTATCCTCGTTTGCGAATCAAATTGTCACCCGTGAGGACTAAGATGGAACGTCTCTATTCCAGTAAAAAGGTCTCCGGTTCTCTACACTCACCATACGAAACACAGCAGTGTTAAGCTGCTATTTAACGCTGATATTCTGTGACAGCGTGGTCCTACCCCGGTCGAGCCGACCCATTCGTGCTACAACTATACTACTAATACAGCTGCAGCATGGCTCTACCACGTATAGTGCCTAAGTGTATGCACAAACACAGGTGCACTCTGTATTCCCTCACTCTCATAATCCGATGGGTCGATAAACCGACCCGATACGACGAGATTAGGCGCAGAACCAACGGCTTACGTGCTTTCCGATGCATGGGGTGAGACACCGCTAACTTCCTGACTCCGGGCAGCTACTGAGAATTTCTTTACAGAAAACTCAATAATTTTTTTGACCCGACCCGGGTTTGAACCCAAGACCTCAAGGTCAGCAGTCGCACTACTACAGCCACTAGACTAACGAGACAGTCAATAAGAATTACAAGTAAATAAAACATTTTTAAAAAAAGATTGTAACTAAATATACGGATTTTTCGCATTTTACTTATTTTAAATTAGAAATAAATAAATTTAATATGTTGTTTTTAAATAAAATAAAATGTTTCGTATATTGATGTTGTGTTGTCTTTCCAGGAATGGAAATTGAAACAATGTTCCGTTACAAATTACCTGTGATAATTATAATTGTGAACAACAATGGCATTTATAGCGGATTTGACAAGAACACCATGCAAGAAATTCAATCTTATGGTGATGTTGCTCAAAGGTAAGACAGTTACGTGATAGTCATATTATGAAACGCGGTTTATTAATAGCCTCAGTTTTAAAGACGAGCCGAGAAGTTTGTTCACGAAATTGACATATGTTGTCAAATTCCATACTTTACAATTTAGTTCATCATGGGACTCCTTTATTGAAATAGACTGGTTTTAACCTAAGCCTAATTGAACTGTGTTGTCCAATTAGTAAGGCTAATTGGACTCCAGTCCAGATGCACTTTTTTCAGTTTATTTTATATTCTTGTTAGCTTACTTTATATCTCAAAATCTACATTCAATTTTCTTTAGAATTATATATACATACGTGATAAAATAGGTCTTCTGCCAAAAGATTAATGCATTTATCTTACAAATCTGTACAACTGTTTTAGTGAATTGACATATTTTTGCACAATAATAATAATAATAATAAGCATTTATTCATTACCACCAATAAAGTACATACAGAAATAACAAGAATTACATAATGTAGTAATGAATGGGCTCTAGCTCAGCATAAATGTTGCAGTTGCCTACAACGCTGTTATTCTGCCAGCGCCCAACATATGAACAGTACAGTACGCGCGCATCCCTTTAATCACAACTATTCACATTAGGGTACATACCGTGGATCCCCGACTATTAGCCAGTTCAAATTAATAATCAAATATATATATTTTTATTACCATTTTTTTTTAAATAAATAATTATTACAACAATATAACTAGTAATAAGTAACATAAATTATAAAATAATATTGATATTAACAAGCCTAACTTCTTTAATCTCATATAAGTTGTTTCCCCACCTACTACATAGCAATGTTTATTATTTGTTTTAAGTATTTACAGGGCGGTCCTGCAATTAGGTAAAAATAAGCCGCTTATGACAGTATTTGTTCTCTTAGTAAGTGACGTCTATATTTCTTTTTAAAACTCGATTTACTTGTCGTAGTGCGTAGTGGTGGTGGGAGATCATTCCAACACTTAGTTGCCATAAACTTAAAACTCCCTCGGAAAGCCGATGTTTTGTGTTTAGGGATGCAAAAAACTTTTGAGCATATTCGGGTTTTATATACATGTTGGTCATTTCTCCAATTAAGTTTTTTGTATAAATATTCTGGATTCTTTGTATTTATTATGCCGAATAGCAAAGAAGCATAAAAAAGTTTGAGACGCCCCTGCATTTTTAACATATTCGAGGTATTAAGATATGATGTAACATGAGTTCGTCTCGGTATGTAAAAACAATAGCGAGCACAAGCATTCTGTACCCTCTGGATTATTTTTTGTGATTTTTTAAGCAAACAAGGTCCATAAACAGTTATACAATAATTTAATTTAGCTAAAACTAGGGTTTCACAAAGCTTTACACGTAAATTAACTGTGATAAATGGTCTAAATCTATATAAAACTTTTAACCTCTAAAAGCAGTTTTGTACCAAATTAATCACATGATTTTCAAACCTCAAATTGCTATCAAAAAGAATGCCTAAATTTCGTGCTTCATGAACTTGTGCAATTGTCTCTCCATTAACACGTATATCAGGTTCAGTTATAGCTATATCATGTACCTGCTTTTTAGTGCCAATTATAAGGAATTTTGACTTTGAAGGATTGAGAACCATGGAGTTATTTTGTGACCAATCGCAAACACGTTGAATATCCTGATTTAACTTATTTACTAATGTGTTAATATTTTTTCGATCTATGGGAATATATACCTGTAAATCATCAGCGTATAGATGGTATTTACAGTTTTTGAGACAGTTTATTATATCAGCACTGTAAATAATAAAAAGCAAAGGCCCTAACACAGATCCTTGAGGAACGCCTCTATCAACAGGAAGAAGCTTAGAAATAAAGTTTTTACCATTATGCCTGTCTAAAATTACTTGTTGATATCGGTCAGTTAAATAACTTTTAAACCACTTGAGTGTTTCATTATCAAAACCATAATATGAAAGCTTAGAAATCAGTAAGTTTGTGTTAATTGAGTCAAAGGCCCTTGAAAAATCTAATAAAGTGAGAATAGTACCTTCTCCAGAATCCGAAAAAGATAATATATCATCCACGACATTAATAAGAGCTGTTGCTGTTCCGTAATTTTTCCTAAAACCTGATTGTAGGTTGGGTATTAATTGATTTTTTTCACAGAAATTTATTACTTGTGAGTAAACAACTTTCTCAAGTATTTTTGATAAGTAAGGCAGTATACTAATGGGTTTTAGGTCACCTACATTTGTTGGGTTACTTTTTTTAGGTATTGGACGAATAAGTGCAGTTTTCCAAGAAGAAGGAAAAACAGATTCTGTTATGGATTTATTAATAATTGCAGTGATAACATTTAAAGTTCTCGGAAGCGTTAGAATTATCATATCCATATTAATGCGGTCAACACCTTGAGCATTTGACTTAATACCCAATCATCAATATCATCATTATTACAGCCCTTCACAAGTCCACTGCTAAACATAGGCCTCCCCCAAGGAATGCCACAAAGCACGGTCCTAAGCCACCGGCATCCATCGACTTCCTGCATGTCTTATTACCAGATCGTCACTCCATCTAGTCCTACACTTCGCCTACAAGTACGAGGCTGCCCCTCGAGAACCTTTTTTCCCATCGCATTTTTGTACAATAATTTGGTCCAATTATAAATTTCTTTTCTTTTTTTTTGTGATAAGACAAGTTGTTGCTGTGTAGGCCAGTGATTTCAGAAAATTTAAAAAATGTATGAAATTGATGTTAAGAGCCCTCTTACATTTCGGCGTTTCGCAAATTTAGGTATTTTACGCACCGAGCGGGCGGCGAGCTACGCGACCGACACTTTCTTTCATATCTATTCACTCGCTCGCACTATAATACTGTGAGTATGGCAATTAAACGATCTTGATCTTCCATAATACAAAGTTTTCTTAGGATGGACTTCAGTGGATGGAATATTTTTTGGTGTGTCATTTTAATGTTATCTTATTAATTTATTATTATATAATTATATAATTTATTATTATATACCATTTTGTTATATTATTCATTATTTATGAAATTTAGTGTCAAAATAAATACACATAAATATTTTAATTGTTACGCCGTAATCGAATGTTAATAATCGATTATGTCTACTACCGGTAGAATAGCGGTATAAATAAATAGACGGTTGCAACCTGTTTTAATAAATATAACAACCAAATGTAACTAATATTTTTTTAATCGGTACTTACAGTCAATTACCATATTTTTTATTAGAAAAATATTTGCTGCGACGGCATTGACGGAATTTTTCTCGAGTCGATAATTTTTCATAAAAAGCTTGTAACTTGGGAAACATATTGAAAATCTAAAATTGGTCGTCTTTGTAAATTTTTAGTACTTTTACTGCATAATCTGGGCCAATACATACTATGACAAGTATTCAGACATCTTTCTTTGCTAAATGAAGCTGGCCTTGGATTTGGTAAAACCAGTCATTATTTTGATTTAATGTTACACTTGAATCACTGAATTTATAACCTTTAACTTTTTTTTTGTCGAAAGGCCGTGTCACAATCTATTTCGAAAGCTGAAATAGGACATTTAACTTCAATAAGACCGTCGCTGTATAAACCATTAGGTGAAGCCCTCAAATAACAATGATCTAGGTCAATGAATAGACCACATTTTTAATAATATTTTCTTGTTTGCTCAATTGTGCCAATGCTACAGACTCGTTGTCCCTACCATGTTTAATGGAAGAGACGTGATCTAAATTATAACTATATAAAATAGTTTTAAACCGATCGATCAAAAATGCGGTCGTAGTTGACGATGCTCTAGCATGCAGGCAATCAACGCACACTACGATAGCAATCGACGCACACTACGGTAGGAATCGACGCACACTACCAAAGAGAATATAATCACTACGTTTAAGAGGCGGGATTTCCATAGTAAAAATAATTGCATGAAATTACGCCAAGTTACTCTACCAACATCAAGATATGAGATTTAGTTTTGAGAAACAGTGTTGACAACATTGACGAATTACAATAGTGCTGTAAATGTCTATCCTCGAATAATTTTATCGATATAACCTTTATCGATATATTGTTTATCGATATTTTTACATAAGAAAAGTTGGATCTCTATACTGAATTATTTATGAGAAATAAACGTGTGGATTGAGTAAAAATGCCGATGAGGATTAGAAATCAATGTATTTTACACACAGCAATTTGTATTTATATCTCTACAATTAGGTACAAAAGTATGTATAAAGGAAATATAAAATAAGAAACGCACTTTTATACTAGTAATTAATTAAGTAAAAAATAAATGACGACTCCGTAGCGCAGTGGCTAAGCGTTTGGCTGCGGCATTGCAGGACCGAAGCTTCCTTCCCGCACTGAACAATTGTTGCTGTGCTGTAAAATAAATAGTCTGCGTCTGGATGCTTGTTTTCAACGTTAGTTTTTTTAGGGTAAAATATTGGGTTTTTAATACTGATTAGATTAAATTGCTTTTATGTGTAACAAATACTATGTACAAATCGCTAGGCTTCTGCACAGAGGCACCTATGTACATACTATTCGCAGAGATCGTTTACTAATTGTCGCTTTCAAAATAAGTGCTCATTATAGCTAATGTTTATTGATGAATAAAATAATGATTTAGTTATATAATCTAATTATATATATAGAAACCTAATTAACATACACATAAATTGTGGAAGTTTAAAGTAAGTCCACTAAAGAAATAACAGTTCGTTTTAGTTGGGTTCATATGCAATGTTTGTCACAAATATGTCTTAAAATGTGAATCTTTTCAATTAGTGCATGTTAGCAGTCAGAATTGACTTGTAGTTTCTAAGTATAGTTCGTTTCGGATTGCTAAACCATCGAACTATCAGATTTAGGAAATAGTGTGTTTGTATTTGTGCACACAATCGTACACTATAAAAACATGTCCTACATAGATGGCTAGTCCAAAAATATACTCGCGTTGAATATCATATTACTATTAAAGTTGAAATCACCACATACCTTTAATCATCTAAGGGAAATATTGTTAATATTGCCTTTTCTTGTTATTTTTTTTTCCGCTTCTTGCACCATTTAATTGGAAAGTTTTATAATGCATATTTAATTTCTTAACAATTCTGTAAATGAACAACGGCTCCTATAGCAAAATTAAAAGCAATATTAATTAATAAAATATATACAAATATAATTGTTTGATTTGACATTTGAACCTATTTCATTTGACAATGTCGTTAATAGACATATCACGAAAAGCATAAAGAAGAGTAACCGTCATTAAAATTTGACCCCTGTAGTACATATAATTTTTACTATGGAAGTTGCACCAGCCTGCACACTACGGTAGTATCGAAACGATGCAGCGCCCGAAATCAACTGACGCAGGTCCAACCTCGGCAAGCGCTCGCACGTTAATGATCGCAGATGGCCGGCGCAGTGAAATATATAGTACTTTTATTTAATTAATTAAAATATAATAGTAACGATTTAAAAAGTAAAAATAATAGTATAGTTTAAGCAAATGTTGATGATTATTTTGGTATAAATTTTACGTCCTCAATAATGTAGAACTTCGGAAATATAGAGGCTTGTATCGAAGCTTTTTTGGTCGTTTTTTGAATTATGTCGATTTTTTTTCCTAGGGTGAAAAGCATATAACGAAAATGTATTCTATTATTATTAAAGTGTAGGATATTTGGGAGATAAAAATATTTTTTTGATGGTCGATATTCAATAGAATCTACAAATTAGAGCTCCCAAATCATGTCTTCGAGAATTTTTGCCTAAACATGCATCGGGAGAATGATTATTACTGATTAAATAAATAAGTTATCTAAAATCCGCTCTGAGCTTATTTGAGGAGAGAAAACGAACTATTTTTACAAAGTAATTGTTATTTCAAGCAACGAACGATAAACATACAATTTCAACGAGAAAACCTTGTAATTTCGCGTTTTTTTGTAATACGCCTCTTAAGTTATATCAATGTGACATGGCAATGGGAATTGACATAATATCGGAACAATAGTCCAGATATTATTAATATTAATTTTTATGGTTTTATGTTAGGGTTGATTGTAGAAAGTCAACCTGGCTAACCCTACTGTTGTCATAACAAATTTCGAAATCAATGAGGCATTCTTTTAATGCTAATATATTTAAAGGCTAAAACTACAAAGTTAATCACTGAAGTTTAATAAAATCATGTGATTGCTAATTCAATACAAAGGTTTAAAAAGGTAGTTTAAGCGAGTGACCCAAACGCTGCAAAAATATTAATGCTTTTGAATTTTATAAATATTAGACGCAATATCCTAATTTTTTTACCCTAGATAAGTTTCCTTTTTCAGTACACCACCTACTGCACTGAGCACTGAAGTTCGTTATGAGAAGATGATGGAAATGTTTGGTGAGACAGGCCATCTTTGCCGCACGGTAGAAGAGATTGAAGCAGCAATAAAGAAAGCTGTGAAAGTTGTTGATAAACCAAGCATTATTAACATTCTTATAAATCCTCAGTCAAACAGAAAACCACAAACTTTCAACTGGCTCACTGAGTCTAAACTGTGATAAAATATTGTGTTAATAATAAATAGGTTTAAGAGATTCAAAACATTTTATACTTTTATTATTGTTGAGGTGTATATTTTTATCATTATAGTTTTATATTTTATTGCACCAAGGGGTAGATAAAAATAAACAAACAGGGTTTTTATATTGTCTGTAATTGAATTACTTATGTCACTTTACATGTTTGTATATGGTGAACTTAAAAATATTTATTAAATACAATTTATAAACTAAATCCCTGTATTTTCATTTAACTCTGTAAGCAAATAAATCTGCTGTGTTGATTGTCCTAAGCAAATTAACACGAATGCTTTCACATTTTGCTGAGGCATCCAATCAAAAAATTCTCTATCACAGTTTGTGCTGAAAAAGAAAAAAACATATTACTTCTATCAAATCATAAATTATGATTCGTTTTCATTTCTATTCATATAAAAGTAAAAAAAAAATTAAAGTTACAGTCTATATATGTCCCACTGCTGGGCAAAGGCTTCCTCTTATTTTTGAGAGGGTTCTAGGGCAAGAAAGTTTCCGCTGCACTGCCTCAATGCGTGTTGGCGAAAGTCGTGCCTTCGAAATATTTTATTTTCTTATTTTTCAGACGTTTTGTAAATCAGATGATTCAGATGTTTTGTAAATTGATGTGTGGTAAATCAACATTTAAAATTGCAATTAACAATTTCATCGGTGCCGGTGGGGATCGAACCCAGGTTGCTCGTGTACTGTGAAATTTACAGCAAGCGCTAACCATCTGAGCTACCACAGCTAATCATATATTTATACATATTTCAAAAATCCTATAATGTGATAACACAAATAAAAAAATATATAAGTTTAAATTTTTTTAAGTTGATTGTTATCAAAGTAGAAAGTAAGAAGTAATTGAAGGGGAGGCCTATGTTCTGCAGTGAACTTTGATAGGCAGAAGATTAAATGAATGAAGTACACAGTTTAGAGTTTTTGGTTGTAATTAAAGCAAAAGCATCTTGATCATTATCGTTGGTAAGACTAAGAGACAATCTAAGGAGAGGCCTATCAGCAGTGAAATTTGATAAACAGTAATAAATGAATAAATTACCCAGTTTACAGTTGTTGGTTGTTGTTAAAGTATAAGCATCTTGATCATAATCATTGGTAAGAGTAAGATCTGCTCCTCGGATCAGAAGTTCATTGCAGGTGTAGGGAAAATCTGCTGCTGCTGCATACATGAGAGCTGTACTGCCAGACTGCAAACAATAAGTTTATGATTATATTACTGTCATACACTAACAAATAATATTTTAAAAAACTTTAAAGTATAAGCTTAATATTTATCAGTTTTTAACATCCCTTCAATGGATGTAAAAAACTAATCAAAATCTTTTATTGTATTATTATTATCATTCAATTAAGTAAAAAAATTAGACTATCAAAAAAATCTTACATCATCTTGTATATCAGCATCAGCACCTTCATTCAAAAGAAATTTCACAACCTCGTGGTGCCCTCCAGCTGCAGCAAGGTGTAATGCTGTCTCACCTTCTGGACCTCTCATATTGACATTGGCACCACTCCTGAATCAGACAACAGTTACTTTGTTTTGGTGAAATATATAGCACCTTTCATTAGCTGTTTAAGGTATAAATTCTTCTTAAACTAGTTTCATTTGAAATTTTAGTATTAATATGCCCAATGTCCGAGTAATTTAACATAATTCTAAAATAAAGGAATGTCTTCAAATATCTATTGTTCTTAATGTTACATTTTTATGTTCAGTTCAGTAAATTTGCAAAATACTCATGACAAAATCTATCCTAATATTAGAAAGAAACTAATATTTTGCCAGTATGAGTTAAAAAACAACTAATGGAGGTCATGGTTTCTGGAGAAAGATTTAAGGAATATAGACAGATTATTGTAATTTCTAAGACTTCAAATTTTTGGTGTCTGGTCACCTGAACAGATATTTTATAGCATTTGGACTCTTGAAAATATCTCTTATAATCCCAACAACCCTAAATTATTTAACAAGCCATATTCCTAAATATTTTTCTTTTGTTTCAAATAATATAATGCTGCAACAATGTTAATTTTGATCAAAAAAGCTAATTACAAATTTCTATTTCATATTAATATTTAATAGGCTTAATATCAATATTAACATAATTGTAATTGATAGTTGATTTCAATGATATGATTTAGCTAATAAAATTGTAATCACTGATAAGAATACAACACAATATGGAACAAATTGTAACATTATAACATGCAAAGTATATGCAGTCTATATCACACACTGCTGGGCATAGCCCTACTATCATTTCAAGAGTATAAATAATCATAAAATTGAATATTCAAGATAAATTTAATTACATTTGTTATTTTGAATTATGGTACCAATCACAATGGCATATTAAAAATAAATTAACTAAAATTTATACATACTAACATTGATAAACATCTTTTGAAAGATACATAGCAAGTATATTAAAATATAAAATTGTAAGTAACATGTTAAGAGCAGTAATAAAGAAAACCACAATATGGTACTTAAGAACAAAGAAAACTACATTATGATTATATTACCACACAAGATCCTGACAACTGTTTAACTGTCCATAACTTGCGGCCCAATGTAATGCAGTGAGCCCATGTTCATCAGTAATATCAACATATTGCTCCAGTTTCACGTCTTCTCGGGTTATTTCTCCGCGCCCAGCCTTTGCGTGAAAGCTACAATCGGGCTGAGGCAATTCAGGAACCCGCGCCTGCGTGTTACCTACAATCACGACCTTGAACACTTCAGAACTAATTCAACAATCAGATGACAAAATAATCAATAAAAGAGATGCCTGAATGACCTAAATGTCATAAAGATTAAGGTAAAGTATTACCTCTTTGTAAATTAGTTAGTGCAGTACATTGAACAGATTTGTACGGTGTAAATGCACTTTTTCGTACTCCATTCAAATTGGGCGCCCATCGTTGATAACCTCCGCTACCACTTTTACTACTATCTTGGCTTCCAGAATCGAAATCATATTTAAAGCTTTCTAGATTGTCTTGTTTTTCCTGTTTGATATCAATATTTTTGCCTTCATGTTTGACAGCAACACCTTCTTCCATTTTTATTTCACCACAAAACTGCACAAAACAAAGAGTATAGTAACCAATAACCAAAGAGTATAATAACTGTCCTATACAGGAACCAATAACCATCAAATTAGTCTGTTATAGTAAAACACAGAACACTAATCCAACTCAGGCAGTGCTGCCAGATAGACTTATTCACTTTCCCCGAACCGCCCACTTAAAATCCCCTAGATTGAAACAAAAACCCCTAAATCAAATGGCTTTGAAATTATCAGACGTCTGTTAACTTTTCGAATTCTTTTTTTTTTTTAAGTAAATAAGTTATAATAAAATACATTTTATATTGAAATCAATATGTAGTAATATTTATATAAAATATTTCAAAATTTGTATTTCAAGTTTTTTAATTTTTTTTAGGTACAAATTTTTAATTTATTCTTGTATGACTAAAAATACATTAAACACTTATTGTTTTGTTTTTTAAATCTTTTTTATTAATATATATTTTATAATTTCTGTTTTAAAATTTAATCGTTCTTCTTTCATGTTTTTCAACTGAAATTTAAGGAAGTTTGTAAGTCTCCTGAACAAATCCTCTGAAAAAAACTCTCCTAGATATTCTACCAAGCCGTCTAGAATCCACTAAATTTAGGGGAAATCCCTAAAAGCAGAACACAGATTACATTTACTGCCCAGCAAAATGCAAAGTTAAAGAGCAAAAAGTTTAGTACAAGATAATATTATATTATCCTTCTTTCTTCTTGGTTTATTATATCCATTACAGGCGTGTCACTTTGTAAAAATCTGAGGTATGGAAAATGGTGGCGCGATTTTCAAATTTGTTCGCATTACTCGTGGGGTATTAAGGTTTAAGAGTTTGCAGTGTATATACTCAACTTATTTATTGAACTATAAGATGTGGGGTATTGAGGTTTAAGGGCTTGCGATTTATTTATATGGGGTTTGTAGTAATATGCGATTTATTTCCTAATTTCAGCTATGGAATTCCATACCTTGAAAAACTTGAGGTATGGAGTGCTCCATACCTTCCATAGTGGAAGTGACACCCCTGATCCATTATACGCAAGGAAGTTATAATATAATATAGGGAGTGAGCGCTTGAAACATTGTAAATTACAATGTTTTGTAATCATTCCTCATTTTTGTTAAAAAGAGAGGCAGCGAGTTTTATATTTTATCTCCTTCTAACATTGATAAATGTTTACACAAAATAAAAACATTACCAACGTTTAGACAGTTAGTGACTTAAAGTAATATTTTAGACATATGCTAGAACGATGATCTTACATTTTTTATCCCTAATCATAGTTGGTATATTCCATATTGTATTTTAATTGAGCATATTATTGAGTAACACGAAAAAAAACCACTAAAACACGAATGTTATTTCCTTAAAAACTAAGGGGTGCATTTTACGCTATAGATGACAACACTATTTAAAAATTTGACGCTGTCAAATGAATGAATATATTGTTTTTTTTAATAGGATAGGGTGACAAACGAGCACTCAGTCCACCGGATGGTAAGTGGTTGCTGTGGCCCATAAACATCTACATCTATCCTCGTTTGCGAATCAAAATGCAGATGCGTTGTCACCCGTGAGGACTAAGATGGAATGCCCTTTTTCCAGTAAAAAGGGTCTCCGGTTCTCTACACTGACCATACGAAACATATCAGTTTTGAGCTGCTATTTTACGCTGGTATTCTGTGAGTGCGTGGTCCTTCTCGGTCGAGCCGATCCATTTGTGCTACAACTATACTACTAATATAGTTGCAACATAGCTCTACCACGTAGAAAACGCCTTGTGCTAATCATTCGCTAAATCTATGTGGAGTGCACTGACTTAGGGAGCGTTAATTCAAGTTTAACTTTTTTTCGGAACAGTAGAAAGAGATTATAGGTTCTTTTCATCATCCACACGTCAATGGGAAACTTTAATGAAAAGTGTATGCGTATCCGTCAAAAGGCTCTCAGAGACAAGATGGATTGCTCATCATGACGCTGTTAAACCACTGCAGAATAATTTAAAAAACTAGTATAAACACTCGAAGATATATATGATCCCAGCACCAACAGAGAAAACGTCGATACAAAAGAAGCAGCATCTACACTCCTACGAGCTTTGTGTAACTTCAGTTTTTTATGCTATCTTTCCTTTTAGCGTAAAATCCTAAAAGAATTTAGTCAGACACAAAAGTAAATACAAAATAATATAATAATAATCTAGATTATCACTGAAAAAGTATGTGATAAAAATTAAAGCCCAAAAATGTTTCATCAAAGCCAATGTATTCAAGTATAATATAGTGGGAAAAGCTATTACTAGTGAAAAAATGTGAGAATGTGGACATTTCGCTTGAAGGAAGAAGAGGAATGAGGAGATTTCGAAAACGTTTACCTGGAGAAATGACCCGATATGCTGGACTAACATTGCTAGAGGAGCTGCATAGACTTATTTTAGAATGTCTTGACAGATTTTACGAGGAACTAGACCATCGGTACAGAGCAATGGATGATATTCTCGTAACATTTAGTATTGTTCAGCGTTACATTTTGCTAACGTCACTAGATGAAGATCTTCGTGTAATAGTTCAAAATGTGACAAAAATCTACGATGATTTTTCTGCAGGATATATAATTTTGGAGATTTTACGACTTGAAAGCTGCCAGCATTTCTTCCCAAGAAGCGGTTCAATGTAATTCATTGGAGTGTTTCTCGTAAAATTGGGCTATTCTGAATCTGTTCCGAATCTAGCGCTGTGTCTAAGATTTTTTTTTATTATTAAGTTTCATGTGAAGGAAACTTTTCAAAACTCAAGTTAATAAAATCTAACTTAAGGTCCACAATGAGCCAAGCGGGACTAATCAATCTTTCCATTTTATCTATCAAAAATGAGAAGAAATTAAATTTTGACAATATATTAGAATATTTTAGCAAAGTAAAGTCCCGTTAGCATATATAGCGTTTTTTGTTTTATTTTGGGGGGTGCTTTATTTTATTTTATTTATTAGGGAATAGCAAACAGCTACAAAATACAGTAATGTCTAAAATACAATAACATGATGTATTCACAATGATGTAGCCCACAACGCTATCCACATATTACTTACAATGTTAAATTAAATTGACGTGCTTGATAGAAAACCGGCATGGGTGCCAACCTACGCTACGCCGCCACTAGTCGCCGTAAAGTTTGATACTGTAGCGAAGCAATCATGTAATCAAAATATTAAACAGAGTTTAATTTATAACATTATTCAGCACTTTCCATATTGAAAAAAATACGCTCATCATTACGGAATGCTGTATATACTATTAATATCCTCAAAATATTGTATCATGGACACTCTATTAGAAAGAAATGGAACGCTTAACTCGTTGCCTTTCATACATTTTAAGGTCACTGATTTAGGAACGTTTCTCTAGTAAGAAGTGCGCAATCCCTATATTTTACGATCTCCTTGATTATACGTTTGCAACCTCTTGTCAGAGAGTAGTAACAGTTTCTATATTGCTGCAAACTAATACGCGAATTTTGTATTAAACATATTGGCTTAAAGTGGGTTGTGATACGTAAATGTGGTTATTTATGGTTATATATTACGTATTAAATATCTGTACAAGTAAACTGTTAGTGGAAATCACAGATTAATAAATTGTGGGATGGAAACTATTAGAGATGAAGCGTATAATATATTAGAACAGAGCCAGACACTAGGTATTAAACGAAACAAGTTGCAACTGTTTCAACTTTTAAAACACTTGATCCACCTAGTCTCACTGTGCCTATGCGTTGCACGGCACCCGCGACCCACTCGAATTAAAGAAGTACCTACTGACAGCGCGGCGAAGGAAGATAGCATTTTGTTGACGTAGTTACTAGTCTGCTTTGCCACTCACTCGTGTCTGCCTAAATCATTCGTGTATCAGTCATTTCAATTTGAATTATATTTCAATGTATATAAAAGTAACGCGACGCGCACTCGTGTTGTGCAAGAATATCTTCTTTCCTTTACTTTTTCTCAACCGGTACGTGTGGATGCGGCGCCGCCCACCGCTGCTCGTGCTGCCCGTGGCCAGGACCAATTTGCTTAGTAACTCACCTATAGTCCGAACAATCCTCGTAGTGAACAAAGTTCACGAGAGGATTGACATATTTTCGAGTAATCTGAGTGAACTCGCTAAGGTACTTTTATACGAGGGGCACACTGAAATAATCGGGAATAGAATATTTCGGATTGAGTTACAATAAAACCTTTTTTAGAATTTGAATACTGGCCTCTTAGAATTTTAATGACATTCAAACAATTAAGAAAATGTTTAAAAACAAAAACTATGTTGGTTTAAAGTTGACACATCGTTAAAAGAAATGGAGCTCACGCGTGAACATTTCCTTGCCATAATTTATCACAATTTTGGTCGCGGCTTATCTCAAGATAAAGGTAGCGAACTTGTTTCGATTTATGATGTTGAAGCACCGAGTCAAACGACAATATACCCTAGTATGCCGAGTTCCGACGCGGTCGTATGTCGCTCAGCACTGTTTCTTATGCAGGTCGACCAAGAACAGCGGTCACGCCTGAAAACATCGCAGCTGTGCGAACTATTATATTAGATGACCGTCATGTGACATACGAGCAGATTCAAGCTGTTATCAGTATCGGAATGACTGCAATTCAGTCGAAATTACATAATGAACGTGTGTAAAAAAGCTAGTTTCCCGCTGGGTTGCCCACAATTTGTCCGAAGAGCAAAAGGCGGCTCGTGTAGATTGGTGCCGGAACACTCTGCAACGCTTCAACGGAGGGAAGTCAAATGCCGTTTATAATATCGTCTCAGATGACGAATCATGGATTTATTCATACGAACCTGAAAGAAAACATCAGTCAGCAGTTTGGGTCTTCGAAGACGAGGTCAAACCAACGAAAGTGGTTCGCTCCTGCAGCGTGTCAAAGAAAATGGTTGCTACGTTTGTCTCAAAAAGGGCATGTTGCTACAATTCCTTTACAG